TTTTTTTATAAACATTTAAAGCAAAATTTAGCCGAAAAAAGTTAATTTTTTCTTCAAGAAGCTGCGATTTATACAATTTTGTTTCTATTAACTTATATTTAGGTTCATTCTATGCGTACACTCTTTAACTAAAGAAATCTTGTTGAATATTTGATTTCAGACAAATACAGCAGACTGTACGTTGCACGCCGCGAAACAAGTACGTCGCCGACAGACTGGGAAGAAGCTCCCATAACTTTGTTAGTTGTCGTTCTTTTTTAATAAAAAAAATTTTGTTATAAACTATAATGTGGTAATATAACAATCTATAAATTTGAGAAGGATCGATTCGGTACTTTCTTCAAAAATAATTCCCGAATATTCCTCAATTTTCGGCGAGTTACACCAGGCTCCCCCCTTAAATCGTTAAATCGAAAAGTCAGATGGAGAGTTTAAAAACTCGAAACCGTACATGTATGCCAAGATACGAGCCTCTATCGATTTTAATTCCGTTGAAAGGATCTCAGGTTCCTACCTGGAAGAAACACCAATTGCCCTGTTCCGAGGACATTCTGATCATTGCCTCAGCTCTGGGCCCTTGTCCCTGGCCGAGTGAGATGGCGAGCAATTTCGTGCCCATCTTCAGTCTGTCCGCGAACTTGTACAATTCGGCCGCTGGATCTGTACCCATCGACAGGATGAAGACAATCGGTGTGGTTGGCGAGGATTCATTGTAAACCGCCGATAATTCCGTGGTTTGTGGCTCGACGAACTCACGGCCCAGATGCTTGGCGAGGTACAGCTGCATCGCGTTGGTCACTTTGTCAGGACGTAGACACTTCAGTATCAGCATCTTTTGAAAGTCGTCCAGCTTCGAGTTCCATGGTTCTGGGTACGGAGCTCTGAATAGAAAGAGGGTTCCTTTAGGCTCGACTTTAGTTCCTCCTCTTTTTTTGAGCTTGCTCGAAAATACCGTAAGTTAAGGTAACTCGATGAAACCAATAAGCTTAATTTACCGTAGTTGTTATAATCCTTAATTTTTTGGTGAAAAAGAATAGGATAAATTAATTCATTCAAATTTGATATATACAGGGTGAGTCAATAAGAACTACTATCGAAAATGACACGTTATCTATTGGTTGTATCGAAAAATGTTTAAGTGATGAATCGGATGGATATAATTTGGTTGTATTATATCTTATTTTTTTTAAATATCAAGGGCACTTTGAGTTTTTTCAAGGTCGATGCATCCTTTTTTTAATACCATCGTGCCGTTGCAAAATTATTCAATAAAAATAGAAATTCAGAAGAAAGTTTGGGAAAAATGAAATTTCATTTTTGGATTAAAGTGTATATAAAATTTTAACACACACACTATTAGGGTTTCCAATTTGGAGACGCGTAAGGTATCAGAAACGGGAAAAGATGTTTACAGTTTCACCAATGCATTTACTATGTAAAGAGTTCGACACAGAAAATATAAGATACTGAATTTCAATGTGATTTTTTACGCGTGTCGTGTCGATTTAAAAGCGTCTGGTACGACTGAAAGGAGTCGAAATGATTCGTTTTCACTAACGTATGCGCCTCCGGATCGTCGAAAACGTGTTTGAAGTGGTTCAGAGACTTCCCAAAGGACTCGACGAAGTTCGCGAAGTTATCCAGGTTCTCGAGTGCCTGGATCTCTTTCCAGCAACGCGGCGTGATCCAATTCGGCGACGGATTCGGTTTGTCCTGCGAACGTAGGAGGAGAAAAGAAACTTTTTTATGCATCCATAAGACGCCTGGAATTCCATTTCGCATCTGCCACCCTTTATGGGTGTTCGTAAATTGGGGATTTTTTCTGATTTCATTTAGAATCGAAGGATGTTTTAAAAAAATGACAATAAGAATAAGTAATTATTTTTATAAAAATGTCAAGAACAATAAATGTAATGGCAATTTCAACAGCTGTTTTGTTGTTGTAAATAAATACATTCAAGTATTAATCTCAAACGTCCATGAATTCAACAATTCGGTCATATACTGGTTAGTTTATCGTTTTTCAATTTCGTTTAGTCCATTTAAATCCTGCTTCGTACAATTGGCTCGAGGAAATCGTTTTTTATCAATTCAGAATTTATAAAAATTCTTCGAAGACCAAACTTTTCGATGGTCCAATTACTATTTACATATTTGAAAGGCATCCGAAGATGAAGTTCGGTAGAGTCGAATGTTTTCTGACCACAATCAGACGAATGGATCAAAGGACATATTCTGGAACTTACTTCGAACGGTTCCGGCCCGGCTAAGAAGTGTCTCCATTCGGTTGGATCGATTAATTTCTCATTCATTCGGATCCGCGCGCAGACGAGGAACGCGAAATGCAGTTTGTGCCTTTCGAATAAGCTGCGGCAGACGTTCGAGAACAGGGAGAACATGAATTTCCGGTTGATACCCGCGACCCGTTCCTCGATATCCGCTGAAACGTTAAGAATGGAACAATAAATTGCAATAAAATAGTATATTTATATAGAGTGTTCCAAAATAGCTTCGACTCTCAGAAATGAGGGGTTCATGGGATGATTTGAAATAACTTTTTCCTTAGCAAAAATGTTCTCCGGGATTTTGTTAACGAGATATTAACGAAAAACCAAATTCCCGAAACTACTTCTACGGAGTGATCGTGTCCCCTCCACATTATCTGCTCCACGCATCGTGTGATACTCGCCAAGATGTAGCGCGGTCGTAAAATCGGTCAAGCGGAAAAAGAGCACACGTTTCGAGCGTCGAGATATCCATTTCGGAGATCAAAGGGGAGATAAGGCGTTTCGAGCCTTCTTCAGTACCGAACAATGTCGTTTTAGACCCAAAGTGTACTTCCGATTTTTTTATTGCTGACAAAAAACTACGAAAACATGAAGTACTTTTAGATATTCTAAATATTGAACAGGATTTACAGTCACCCTCGTATTAAATTGAACTACTAATTATAGTTAATCGTAGACCATTTACTGTTTTTGATGCAACTCACAAGGAGTGTATTTTAGGTGTCCGCCTTCGATTGCTTTGGTTTTCGGATATGTTTTAGAGGACCGAAAAATAAGAGATACGTATTTTTTTATAGCGGCCAGTTTTCATATTTAGGGGGTGAAACCACCCCTCAAAGTTTCGACTCGGAAGTACTATCTCGAAAACCAGAGGAGATACATGAAAACTTCTAATGGACGAGGTCTGCGGTTTTTTTATGTAGAATAATATGGTGCTAACAAATTGTCCAAAATATAATTTGTTTATAACAACAAAATTTCGGATAGAAATTTCGAGTGGTGGTTTCACCCCTTGAAGTCGTCTCAACCGATAAAAAAAATACGTGTCCTTTATTTTTGACTGCTTAACAGACATACGAAGTTTCATCAAAATCGGAGGGGGACACTTCCGTGCCTTCCCTTGTGAGATATACACGTAGTTTCCTCCAAAAAGGTTCTCAAAATGATTTTTTTTTGTTATAAACAAATTGTATTTTTGACAATTTGTTAACACCAGTTTATTGTATATAAAAAACCATGAAAGCCACCAATTGAAAGTTTTCATGTATCTCCTCTGGTTTTCGAGGTAGTACTTCCGGGTCGAAACTTTGAGGGGTGGTTTCACCCCCTAAATATGAAAACGGGCCGCTATAAAAAAATACGTATCTCTTATTTTTCGGTCCTCTAAAACATATCCGAAAACCAAAGCAATCGGAGGCGGACACCTAAAATACACTCCTTGTCAGTGAGATTGTAGTTCTCATAAAAATATTTGGCACGTATCTTTCTTTAGCTGCTCTTATCCACGTTGAAGGGGTGAACACAGCCCTCGAAGTTAGGGGTGTGAACTGTATTCGGTCGAATATCTCGGAAACCATTGGAGATATAAAAACGGTATAAATTGCAATATTCTGTGTTTTTTTTTATAAGGAATCCAGCTGTCTGATTTGATTCCGGAATAATCCATTTGTTTGAACAGTACATTTGAAAAATAGCATTTTCAGTCATTTTTATAACAATAAATTATTGTCTGAATTCACTGTAACGATGATTTTGTTTTTCGTGAGAATACAAGTCGAGACAGTGGAATTAAATATAATATTTTCGTAACGAAATTTCATTTTCCGCAGTCGGCTATGACGCGGTTGTTGTGGTACCTCGTGAATTTGCTGGCTCGGTTAATTGAAAGTGAGAAAGGAGTTCGCGCGGAAAATTGCTCCTCTGATGAACGAAGAGCTGGGAAAGAACCGTGTATCCACTTTACGATGCAAAGTCGTTCCTCTCTGTGCTTCACGCTGGGAAAAGTGAATACGGTGACAGAGTGGCGAGAGTACTCGCGCAGAATAACCGGGCAGAGATCAAACGTGATATACCTTTAATCGGACTATAATTTGTTCTAGATATTTCATGAGAATCAACAAGACACTAAACCATATTTGACTGTAATTAATTAGTGTTTTTTCTATTTTCTTCCGAGATACGTAATTTGTTCGTTGGTAGGGTGAATACACCAGTAAATGAACACGTACCAGTGAATGAACATTATCTATAAAAGTACTTAAATGAAGTTGTTAAAATAAGCAACAGATTAAATATTGATACTTTTCAATTCCTTGTTTCATATTCAAACAATTTTCACGCCATTGATTAGGAATGTTCATTTACTTAATATTGTTCATTCACTGGTGAATCTGTATTTTTTCTTCTTTAATGTAAATTACATTTTTCAAATTTTTCAAACTGAAATTTCTACGTTATAAGAAGATATAGATATTAAAGAATCTAATTTTCATGTGTCCAACATTTAGTAATATTATTATCGTTTAAAATCGGACATTAATAGATACGAAATCTTGTAAATGTTCATTCAATTGGTGCGTTTATCCTATAAAAAAAACGAGAGAATTAAGAGAAGAGGCGCAACGTGTGCCAATTTTTCTCCCTTCTTTACGACCCCCTATTTTTTCATAAATCGCTCATTAGCAGGACGAACCAGAACGTAGGCGGTGTCGCGATAAAAAAAAAGAAACTTGAATCTCTGTCAGGAACGGGGAATCGATTTGTAATATATCTCCCGAAAGTCCGTTCTTTCGTGAACTTTTTTTATTAAAATTTATGGCTGAGCGTGTATCATCAATGGAATTCAAGTCCATAGCGGAGGGTTACAGTTTACCGTCCCAATACGATTCCCCCAAAACGGAGAAAAGTATTTCTCTCCCTTGGAATTCCATTTATGGTGTTATGAAAAAATGTTGTGATGAGAGCACTGTAAAAAAAGCTAAAAAGTAAAATTATCGTTACAATTATAATAACAGTTTGTAAAATGTAACGTTTACATTTTTGGAGGTTATGTAATTTAATCAGATGTCGTGGAAGCAGTATTCGAAATCGTGGTTTGGCGGTATTCACGAACGGAATGTCGTTTTAATAAAATATCAAAACTTAATGAGAGCCTTTCGAAAAATTTCATTTCCTTGGAAGATCAAAAAAAGCCAGATGATCCGATTTCTATGAAAAATGCACCAGAATTAATACACGGACAGAGAGGCATATGTAGGGAAATACGCGGATGCGGATGGTTCATTAAAAATATTTAATTCGTGGTTTTTAAAATTAAGGTATACGTACAGGGTGTCCATAAGTGACATTTGATATAACTACTGAACAGTAGGCGACAGAAAAAAAGTGTAAGGATCATCATCGTTTCTTATGTAGAATGCCACTGTAAACAATATTTTTTACTTTCAATTTTTGAAGGTCATATTAAGGTCATCTCGTATTTTTTAAACGCAATGCTATATGTTTGTTTTGTTATTACGAAGATACGTCTCTTAAAATGCTACGTAATTCATTAAAACGTTTTCTAATATAATCAAGTGGTAACGAGTTATTTTAGATAGTGGTTTTAGCTAATACACCCTGTACGTTAGTTACCGTACCATGAAATAATATTCAAACAGAAAATGGTGAATCAGTAACGAAGTGAAAAATGATACTACGTTACCGCTTTTTTCCGTCGCTTTGATGCTGTTGTTGAATATCTCGACGAACCATTCCAACGAGTATTGGTACATCGTGTCGATGTGCTGTAGATCGGAGAGACAGAAGAAAAGTATCTGACCCCGCACGGCGACAGGTATGTACAGCGATCTGGTGATCTCGATGTCCGCCTGTGTGACCTCCGCCTCTTGCATTTTCAACTAGCAACACGAACATTCGTAAATGCAATACACATAGAGATCATAAATTAGCATCACTAGTTGTTACTTTAGCATCACTAGTTGTTACTTTAGCATTACTAGTTGTTACTTTAGCATTGCTAGTTGTTACTTTAGCGTTACTAGTTGTTACTTTAACGCTACTAGTTGTTACTTTAGCATCACTAGTTGTTACTTCAGCATCACTAGTTGTTACATAGGTATCATTAGTTCTTACTTCGTCATCGCTAGTTTTTACTTAGTTATCACTAGTCTTACTTCGCTATCACTAGTGATAACTAGTATCTTACTGATAAGTAAGAGGAAACTCCACTAACCACCAACAACTATTAACCTCCATTAACCACCAAGATACACTAACCATCAAGATCCACTAACCACCAAGGCATACGAACCACCAAGATCCACTAACCACCAAGATACACTAACCACCAAGATACACTGACCATCAAGATCCACTAACCACCAAGGCCTACGAACCACCAAGATCCACTAACCACCAAGATACACTAACCACCAAGATACACTAACCATCAAGATCCACTAACCACCAAGGCCTAAGAACCACCAAGATCCACTAACCACCAAGATACACTAACCACCAAGATACACTAACCATCAAGATCCACTAACCACCAAGGCCTAAGAACCACCAAGATCCACTAACCACCAAGATACACTAACCACCAAGATACACTAACCATCAAGATCCACTAACCACCAAGGCCTAAGAACCACCAAGATCCACTAACCACCAAGATAAACTAACCACCAAGATACACTAACCATCAAGATCCACTAACCACCAAGGCCTAAGAACCACTAAGATCCACTAACCACCAAGATACACTAACCACCAAGGCCTACGAACCACCAAGATCCACTAACGACCAAGATACACTAACCACTAAGATACACTAACCATCAAGGCCTAAGAACCACCAAGATCCACTAACCACCAAGATACACTAACCACCAAGATTCACTAACCATCAAGATCCACTAACCACCAAGGTCTACGAACCACAAAGATCCACTAACCACCCAGATCCACTAACCACCATTAACCACCAAGATCTACTAACCACTCATTTTCATAAACGATGAGGGGACACAACAGATTGATGTCACTACTCGCGGATATTATTGCATATCCGTGTTCATTGTACTCGCCATAGTAAGTACGTATACAGGTTGAATTTCTGGTTGTCGAACGTTTCCTACGCTGTTCAATCGCTGGTATACCTTGATCTCCTCGCTTTTCACTTTCGAAGCTTCTAAGGTGAGGATCAAATCGATGTCATCGACGGCAGAACCCTCTGATAACGACAGTCTGTACAGTATTCTGTCCTCTATGTCCTGCAGCTCGCTTCTCATCTCGGCGTTCGACACGATTAGGGCGTTTCTGGCCTGCTCGAGGTCCGGTCGCTCTTGAATGGCGACCAAAGACAGCACCTGATCCTCCAGACCACTTTAGTGCACGCAAACAATGTATAGTTAATATTAATAGTACGAGTTTTGATCGTATAGGAGAGAGCGGTGATAAAAGTAACGGCGTTGTGAAAGTAACTGCGGAAAACTGCTATAGTTAATATACAGAGTGAGTCAATAAGAACTATTATCTAAAACAATTTTCTACCTATTGATTGTTTCAGAAAGCATTTTAATGAATTATATAGCAGTTTAAGTGACGCATCGGATGAATACATTTTGATTTTTTCATGTCTTATTTCTTTTAGCTGTCTTCTTTATCTTTTCTTAATACCAACTTCGATAATTTTTATTTACTACTTCAATTGTTTCTACCTTTACAATTATCACATTTCACATATATCATCAGGAATCTGTAAACTATCATCTTACAACACCCCGTTAAAATCGAAGTCGGACAATCGAGGTCTTTCCCCATACAAAGGAACATTGATAACTCACGTGGCTGTCAGCGCAAAGTTCACCAGCAGGATTTTCACCGCAGTTTCCGGTGTGTAATGGGGATTCGACAACCTCGTGGTGAGAAACAGACGGAAGTCGTTGTTGTAGGGGACGATGTTCTCCCCGATTTTCACACACATCTGGCCACCGTGCTCGAATAACGATCGCATCAGTATAGGGTCCAGTCCGGCTTCCAGCTCGAGACCGATGTTCTCCAATAGGCAGGCCCTTCCGAACCGAGCGCAGGACTCGAGGACACGAAGGACGTCCTTGTCGGTCATCTTCGCGACGGATATGCCTTGTTCCTTGTACTGGTACCCGTTATATGTAACAAAAACCGATTCCATAGACGTGTTAGTGTCAACGTAACAATACCTTACCTTCAAATTTCATCAAGAAACTAATGTAGGAGCGTTGGAAAAATGAGAGGGCCCAAGCGGGATTCGAACTCACGATCCCCGGCGCCGAAAGCAGAGACACTGTTCCACGGAACCTTCCTATTTTCCGAAGATGTTATTTGCTCCTTTGTTGGGTATGGAGTTCCCGATCCCACACTAATGTTCCCCTTATTAAATATATGTCGGAGGCGGAACGAAATCCTTCATCATCGGACCCCTCGGAGTTTGATCGGCGACGTTCTCGATCGGATCACCCCCTTAGCACTCAAGCGATGCACAAAACTCTATGCAAACGCAACGCTCGACCTTGTAGCGCAACACGAAACACGTCAACGAGCCCACGGGTTTGACAGAATGTTCGCGTACGTCTTTACGTTTTCTCTTTCCGTACCCGATACTAAAAGACTTTTCTCGAAGCTGGTGTTCTCTCTACCGTAACCGAAACTATTCTGCCGCCCGTGGTTCAACAGGGTCCCAGCCCATTTTCTTCAAGGGACCCTATCTCGCATCTCCTTTTGCGTAACAAAAACGGGGTAAACGGGGACTGTTTTATTGCCCCTTCGCAGGGCAATTACTAAGGTACGTCCAAGCTCCAGACTCCAAACTATCCTATGGTCAACGCATAAACTAAATGCCTAAATTGTTATTTTACAACTAGACTTAATCCAAAAGTTTACAAATGTTTTGTAGAATAAAAAAAGCGTTACACGTCGTCGCCGATGGGCTGCGTCGCTGCCATCGGGCCCCGACATATATATTAGTAAGATATACATATAATACATTATTATATATCTATAACATTTTATACATTACTTGAATAATAAATACGAGGTCTCAAAACATCTTAATTCTCTAATTAGGATCACAGGCACTTTTGATTTGAACAAAATCCCGTATAGAATTAACGTTCCTCTCCTACCCATTGGTTCCTAGCTGCCTCAGGGGTGATAGTTACCTACACTGTTAAATATTGAATTATTTACAAGTCTTACAAATCATTTGCACTCGATGTCTCACATATTCGACGTATCTATCTGCTGCTAGCTTTACAAGCTTATCCAGAACGGGAGTATTTTTGAAAACTTTGCTCCTTACAATAACACTTAATCTTTTTTATACCTCACTCTAGGTCGGTAATATCACACACCAGATGTCAGTACGATAAATCAGCTAAGGCTGATAGGTGCGGCTGCTAATCTTATTATCAGATTTAAAAAAATATATATATATACGTGTCAGCGTCAACGTGTTCTAAGTGGAGTCGAGGGTGGATGATGGCATGTCGATCCCTTGACCCTCGGAGGATTTATGATAAGGTTTTAGAATGCGGTCTTGAAAGAGGGTGCACGAGGCTAACAAGGGAACATCCGGAAAATTCCGATTCTTTTTAAACTCCACTGATTCGTAGGGGACCTCGATTGAAGCATCTGGCAATTTTTCCTTTTTTCTGATATTCGGTTCTTTGGGGTGAAACTGCCCCTTCAAAGCTAACGTGTTCTTCCATATTTACCTGCGTATCTTGAAAATTATAGTAGATATAGAAAAAACTGTCAGAATGGAAATTTCATGGTTTCTTATACTCTATAGAAGTGTGGAATAAAATTGTTGACAATTCGTTTTTTTAAATAAATAAATTAAGAAACAAACACATTTCTAACAATTTCATTAGATAATTTTATAGGGCATAAGAAGTCATTGTATTTTCATTCTAACAATTCTTTTATATTTATTATAGTTTTCGAGATATACAGGAAAATATGGGAAGACACATTAATTTTTAAGAGGCGGTTTCACCATAAAGAAACGAAAAATTGAGATCCCCACAAAACTTGCGAAGTTTAAAGAAGAATCGGAATTGTCCAAGTACCGAAGTTACCTTGTTACTTAAAATCACAAGCATCGGTTAAAAAGTTCTGACACGACCTTGCAAGTGATCGATCTGTCCGCTTACATTACCCTCTCTCTACGAATGCAAATGTTCCAAAGAGTTGGATAAATTCTGGTTTTTCTTCTTTACAGTCGACGTAGTGCCCCGAGAATCGATACTGAAAACTCGTTTTAAATCACCGCCGACTTAGGAGGCGATAACCTATAGACTAGTATTCCCGTTTTACGGCGGGCTCAGGTGGTCGTCATCGAACAAAACACGGACCGATAGACAGCTTCGTTCGCGCGATAATTTATTACGGATTGCACAGTTTTATTACGCGAGAAATGGAGAATATAAAGCGATCAACCATTTGCCGCTTGTTTACGACGATGAAATGTTTTATAATTACAAATTTAGTTGAAAATTGAATGGAACATTTTTAAAAGCTTCAACTTTCGATTATTGCCAAAACATCGCCAGGTCAACGATAAAATAATTGAAAAAGAAACGTTATAAAAATTTCTTTTCAACACGCACCTTATGGAACTTGACACTGAGAAGTTAATTAATTATTCAGTTACAGAAAATGATATTTTCGTGAAAAATTAGGTGATAGTCCGTGCCATTCTATTAGAAATACGTTTAAACGCTTATAACTAACAAACGAAGCATTTGTCGTAATTTCGTTACTCTTGATTTTCGTCTTATTTTGCCTCCAGCAATCACCTCTTAAATTGTTTCCCAGTAATCATTCAACACTCTGTATAATAAAGCAAATGTTGGCCTGAATACCTACGAAAGTGTCTTCATAATTTCAGCGATTCTAAACGAAGAAATCTGAATTCCGTCATTTTGACAAGTTTCGTAATTCTAGTATTAAAGAAAACTGATTTCGTTTAAAAACTGGACGTGCCAAGAAAAAACGGTTAGCACATTCGTATTCAGCTCATAAAGATCTATCGGAAACGCTTATTAAAGGTTATGAAGTAGGAAAAAAGTAAAATTTATCTTAAAAAAAAAAAAATGTTTTCCTAAAATTTAATCAATCTGAAATAATTAAAAATTTCGGAATTAATCTACAAATTTATCTTAAAATTAAATTTATGTTAAAATTTATATTTTTTAGTTATTATTATTTTTTTTATAGTTCACCAGAGAGCGGATCCACTTGTTTGCCTGGGCTTGGGGGTCGATGAAAAGCGGCCAACGCTTCGAATGCATCGCGAGGACTGCGTTTTCCACGGACAGCGTGTCCCTCGGCAAGCCCTCGATCTGCCATCTTCTTATCTCCACCTGATCGCCAAGCGTCGAGATCGGGTCGCTGCCCGGCGTGTGGGGCACACCCTCGCCGAGCAGCTTTTTCCAGGCGGTCAACAGACTCGCTCGGTATTTGTCTGTGAACGGGGTCAAGTAAGCTATTGCTCCTGCGATAAAAGAAAAAAAGACGAGGTTAGAAAGGATCCTGGTGGACTCGTCTGGATCGCGAACGATATCGTTAACGTCTTCGAATAAATCGAATTTAGGTCGAAGTAGCGGAGTCATAGGTTATCGCGGGCGAATGTGGCGGAATGGAAGGTGCTTTCGGGTGTACAGTCGCCACGAAAAGTAAGTTGACACGATCCCTTTGATTCTCTTCATTCGGGAAAAATTTGGAACATCGTATTGCTATGAAATTTATTTTTTGTATTTTTTTTTTTTTTTACGTTTATTGGAGGTTCACTAAGGTTTTCAGGATTTATTTTAACAGATTTTTCGCGAAATTTTATGTTAAATACGGTTGGTTGAATTTGTTGGTGGATCATTTCACGCGAAAGCGGACATTTTTTTAAGTAATATTTCGGATTTTGTTGACACTTTGATATGTTGTAGTCTTTAGCGATATATAAACGTATCTCGAAGGATTTTTGAACATCTTTTAAATTGTTGATTTTACTGGTGTTTGAAATGTAGTGCCAACGTTTTTTTTTTCAATAAATCATGACTGTGGAATTAACAAGCGGATCAAAATGAGCTTTGTGGGTGCTCACAGTGGCGACATAACAGGACTTAATAAAAATTGTTTGAGTTAAAGAACATATTTTTTAACCGTTTATTTTGCAATTGTTTTAAAGATATGCAATGTTATAATAGCGGGGCACTATTTAAAAATTTGAAAATTGAGGGTGTAGGCCTATTTGTCCTCTTTATGTGAAAATTTTCAAAAATATGGAGACTTTAAAATTCACCATATGAAAATTAATTCAAGTTAACGCTGCGTTTGGTCACAGAAGGTGGGACCGTGTATTATCTCTGTAAGTAGATCGGGACAGCAATTAGCCAGACAAGCGGTGTAGCATGTGGAAGTTACGAGGCGAGTAGAAGTGGTATGTTCGTGGTCAGACAGGCATCGCTCAGTCAGATAAGTGGTGTAGCAGAGTTGGGCAAAATTTCGATCTCAATAAAAATTTTGAATAACGAATAAACGATACCAATTTAAATCGTTATTCGAAGACCGAATGAAAAAAGTATTTCTTATCCTTCGGATAATTCTCGTCGAGTGAAGATACTTTTAATTCGAACTTCGAATAACAAATAAAGATAAAGTTATTAAAATACTTTTTTATCTAAATAATGCCCAACTCTGTGGTGTAGCCTGTGATTGTTACTTCGCGCGTGGAAGCGGTATGCTTTTAGTCTGACAAGGGAGAATGAGAAATTTCAACGATCGATTGTGCAAACGAATTCTGGCAATTACTAGCCAGACAAGCAAGCTATAATATGTTCGTAAAATTTATAATGTAAATACTGTTTTACGTATATCATCCTCCTAGAAACAGTAACAATGAAAATTTATAAATTCTAAAAAGTGTTTAAACATCAGTTACTGTTCTGAACGAATTAAATCACGTCTAGGCGATCCTAAGAAGAAAATTCAGTTTCCCCTACACTTTGTCCCTATACCTTTCAATCTTTCTGTTTAAATTTTCACGTCAATTCTCCTCCATCTCTAAAGTGATATTTATACAATTTCTCTACGCAATCCTGCAACACCTCTCAGCCACTCTATCCACTTTCTCGGTAAAGAAATACTCGGGTGGGTAGAAAAGGGTGAATTCTAACCGGAAGCGAGGAGAATATCTCCGACGGCGTTCTTCAAGGACGTATTTATGTCGGCCACAGTCGACATCCAGCGTATCTGTTCGCCGGCCAGGCCGTCGATCAGCCTGACAGCCCTTCCCATTCGGTCCTCGCAAAGCTGCTTTTGCTTCTCCAGTTCTGCTTTTCTCTCCTCCTCCTCCCTTAGAAGTGTTCGCAGGCTTTCGATACCCTCCTCGACTTCTTTCAGTCTTTGTACCGCGGCTAACAAGGCCTTCTCGGTCTCCACCAACGCCTCCTCGGCCTTCGCAAGCGCCTCCATCTTCGGTTTCACTTTCTCGTTCACAAAGTAGTAGTTGTACATCGCGTGCACCCACAGGCACAACGAGTGGCAGGCCTTCGAGACGAATTGTATCTGCGGAGGAAAAACGGGCGATGGAAGTATCGAGCTGGAATTGTACTTTTGGTTACTGACAATGATGGACGCATTTGGCGCTGAAATTACTGGCATCATCTATACTGTACTGATTTGAACTGTATACTGTTAGGCGTACCATTAATTACTGCACCATTTTTCTTTGTCAACACTTAACCACAGATGATTGGGGAAAAAAAATTGTTTTTAATGTTAACACGTTCACTGCCACAGTGAAAAAGGCCGTACGTAGCCAGACACACTTTATTTCGTTTCTTAAGTCATAAATTTTTGAAAATATATGCGTTTGATTAATAGAGATTGATTGTCTTGTTTTAAATTATACTGTGATATTAATCTTATGTCAAAATTTTGTAGAGGTATTTAAATAATCCAGCATATTTGCAATGTTTCAACTACGAGTTACCTCGTAGCTGGCAGTCAACGTGTTAATGCAGGGGTCGGCAAACTACCCGTGAGCTAAGAATAGATTTTACAATTTCGAATTTTTAAAAATTTCAAAGTATGCGCTATAACGCTTTTAGTGGCTAAAATATTTACTATTTGCTGCTTTACAAACAAAGTTTGCCGACCCCTGTGTTAAAGGGTAGGTCGATTTAGAATTCAAACCATAAATATTGGATGGAAGGAACAAAGAACGAAAAAGACTTTCGTTACTTTAGACGAAATTGAAATGGTAATTCGTCGGGATCCCTCGAATATAGCTGACCAATGTGTCTGTTCATCACTGGGTATTTTTACTTGTAATGAACTTCGATCATTGAGCAATCATTTACTTCCCATCGATCTTCATAATAAAATTATATCGAAAAACGTACAATATCGTGTCACTGCTAATTTACAAATATTATTGCAAATAAAATCAACTAGTAATTGACAGACACCCAATATAATAGTCATACATCAATTGTGTCAAAGGAATTTTTGAAATTCCGAAAACATTTCACAAGAGACATGTTGTTCTACATTTGGTTTTTAATATTTGAGTTATTTTTCGCAGTATTTCATTGCCTCGTTGACCTTTCCACGGTGCTCACCAATACACATCAGATTTCTACGATCCTGATCGGAAAGTTTTCTGCAAAATACCGGGAAATCTGTCACGATTGTCACGCGTTTCTACATATTTCGTTTAAAAGTTGGGACTACTGTTGGCCGTTCTGTTCTATACGAAAACGAAATAAAAAAAAAATGAACTTTTTTCTAGGAATTTTTCACAGAAAATGAGAGATTTCGCGGAACTTTGCGAATTATTCCACTGAGCAAATATAAAGTCGCCTCGGATCGATACGACGAAACGCATCGCTCGACCGTCTCGACGGAAAGTTGTAATTATAATTTCCGAACACCACAGTAAAGGCAGTTTTAATTGCGAATAGCATTCCCAAGCTGGATGGAAATCCCTATATTTCGTAATTTCACGAAATTCTAATGGATCGCTCGGGAAAGATCGCGAACTGACAGAAGTTTCCAAGAACTAAGAGTACCTTGGACGGTTGAAAGTTTGGATCTTCGATGTAGGATTTCAATTTGTTAATCATCTCCTCTGTGAGATTCTCTTTGTCGTAGTTCTCCATTGTGTATAGGAAGTGGCCTGGATCCGCGAGCATCTGGTTGCCGGGCGTCCAATAATCAAGCTTCGTTTCTTTCCCGAACTTTCCGGCATCTGGCTGCGCGAAACAGAACGATTTTCACGGGCGAATCGTTTAGAAAAACACAATCCTAAAATCCTGAACGAAGGCACACGGGTTTGCTGTTCTTTCCGCGGTCGAATAACGCAACGGGAGGTAAGAGAAGTTTGAGCTGTTTGAAAAGTTTGATCGATGTTTGGTCGTATTGCTTCCATTAACTCTGTTTGGACCGACGAAACTTTGTCTGGACCGATCGAAGTTTATCTGGGTATCTAAATCTTGTATGGACCGACCAAACTTTGTCTGGACCGACCAAACTTTGTCTGGACCGACCAAACATCTCACGTTTGAAAAAGTCCAAACATGTTTGGACGTTGTGCAACGTAATCGAGTGATCACGCGCGAACCTTGATGGGCTTGACGTTGTTTATGATACAAATAGCTTCGATAACCAGTAGAACGCCGACAGGCGGCCGTTTCATCGCTTTCACCTCGGTGATGTCGTTCCTGTTTAGGGCTTTAAGGCTCTTTTCGGCGGCGATCAGCATCGGGCGTGCCTCACCTGTGACAATCGAAAGACGTTTGTTCGTGTTAATTGAGATATCGTTGCGTATTACACAGATAAATGTGATCAATTAATTATATTCCTGCCGTGTCGCTATTAGCCCTTTGACCTTAACGTCTTTGTGAAGGTGGTAATGTATATCGTCTGTTTTCAGATACAAATACGTCAGATTCCAACGGAGATATCTTCGCAAATATCACACGGTTAGGTTATTATGTAAAGGAATTACCGAAATATCAGGGTTTCGAGCCTGCGTAATCATAAATCGAAGGGATAAAGCGTTTGCTCTGTGAAACCGTAAGACGATTACGTGTTTCCAGTTTTCGTGGCGGTCGAGGGATGGAAAATGATCCCGGTTCATGGACGGGGACGGAATTTAATATAAACACTAAGTGTTGGGAGGGTCGTGGCGAGGTATGAATTAAGTATCAGGTCGATGGGAGGGATGAATGAACGAATACGTAGCTGACAAGAAGGGAATAAAAAGCGAGGCGTGCAGTGGCGAGCGAAACGATTACCACTTTATTCACCTGTTCTACTTGTATTCTTTCTTAACAGTAATTTAAAATTTGAGTATGTGTTTTTTATACTGGGTTAGTTAATAAGAACTACTATTTAGAATAACTCATTACCTACTAGTTGTATACAAAAATATTTTCATGAATTATATAGCACTTTAAAGAACGCATATTAAGGTGATATTAAGGATTAATAGAAATGTAAAGAATCAGAAAAGTGGTAATTTTTTTTATGATAGCTACCGTATTCATAGTCGGGATAAATAAGTAGAGAAACGAGATGGAATAGAAAGCACGGTGGTGGTTTTAATGTGGTGACGCTACAGCAGAAATAAGTTAAGGGAAACGTAAGTAGGTGAGGGAAACCGCGAACAGACCAAGTTGAAGGGGCGAGGAGAAAATGTGAAGGAGCAAGAATGCTCTGGGGATACCATCACACATATAGTATATGTATAATTGGAACGCAGATATTTATAGGAAATTCTCATTTTCATCCACCAATCTAACAACAGTAAAAATGTAAGAAACAATAAATAAAGACTCCATCTGTTTCTGTTTGCGTACTTTAACCCTTTAATGGTGTAGGTATCTATGTGCGTGAATTAATTCGATTCCTTCATTCTAATAAAGGAAATATATATTTAAATCTTTAATGAAATCTGAATTTTTATAGCAAAATATATTTAATTTTTTCACATGACGAGTATATTCGTCATTATTTAAGTAGTAATTTTCTCATGACGAGTATCGTTAAAGGGATAAATCTTGTTGTTATATACAAACAATGCACTGCCTGCATTGTACGTAAATACAAGCTCTATCATTTCTTTCTGTCGCAGCAGCTTTCTAATTTTAGAATCTCAGGTTATCGAACTCGTCTGCAGACCCGTTTATCGAACGCTTCCGACGCAGAGCGAGGTTAATCAAGCTATCTTCTCAATATGGAACTATTTCCAGCTGTCGAGGTTCGGTACCGAGGTTCACGGTAAAAATACACGGACTCACTTAAATCGGCCTCAGCTTCGTCCTTGATCGCCTGGTTGTCCAGCTTCATCTTCGTGGCGACAGCTTCCTGTTCCTTTGCCTGTTGCCTCGTTTTCTCCGCCTCGATCTGCCAGAAATAATTCATCTTTTATCCGAGAGACTTCCATGGCGGAATTTTCTCAACGGTATTAATTATCCCACGGAAATGAAAAGATGAACGAAGAACGGTACCGTTACGCTTAACGGCTCTAGAGCCAAAGGGAACTGAAGAAATAGGTTTTCATATCCTTGGCCTCCAGTAATAAGGTATAATGGTACCCTGTGCCATAATGTCTAATTAAAGTGGCGCATGAAATCAGAAATTGTTTGACAATCCTCGAACCCGATTCAAGAACTACGATTTAATATATAACTTTCATAAAAAATTTTAAATATTATTTTGAACGATTCGAAAATTATATATTGAAATTTCAAAAATTTCAATGTGTAATTTTGATGGTATTCTTGTACCACTATACGTGGTACAAGGTACCATTACGTTTCAAGGTACCATCAAAATTCCAAAGTATAATTTTCGAAATTTCAAAATAATTGTTGAAATTTTATTTATAAACTGTTATATATTAAATTGTGGTTCTTGAATCGAGTTCCAGGTTTGCGGAACAATTTTTCTGTTTCAGGTGCCATTTTTATTCACCGTTTACACGTCTTCGAAGGTTAATAGATTAACCACGGTACTAACGGTATCGACAGTGATCCTCTCGATCATTTTAGCAGTCGCCTCAGCTGCTTTTTCTAGCTCTGGTTTCATATTTGCCAGCTGTTCTTGCATTTCCTTCACCTCGACTTCTGCGCTCGCGAGTTTGTCCAAACCTGAAGTATCGTGGAATGGTATCGGTTTTTGACATGGGTTCGTGATAAATTCCAAAGACGAATCCACGCAAGGATTAACTCTTATCGAAATTAATCTGTACGAAGCTTGTGAATTTCTAGCAACAGTGTCAGGAGTCGAGAAACTTTCTTTGTCAACGTTGTAAAATGTGACAAAGAAAAATGTCACCTGTACAGTAAATCCTCGATAAGTGTTCGACGGTTCTTTTGTAACGGGGTTTAGCTCAGTGATAGAGTTTGGAATTCCGAAGCTAGGGAGATTTGTTTCACCTGCATATGGGCATTAGTTTCTGAAATATTTAATGTTCAATGCCCAAGAACCTTCGAATAATATTATAACTATACTAGAATTATCGTAATATACTTATTTAAAATTGTCATAGTACTATTCATTGAACCGTATTCACTATTTATTACAATGATTGAGAATTTTTTCAATATCCATGAACACAAAGTTCTAGTCAAATTAAACCGTTTATGTTCAAGAACTTTTGTGTATTTGTTCTCATAGGAACGTTTTTTAAAAAAGTTCCACGTTCCATTTTTTAAATGGTACCTATCAAAAAATTTCATAATCTTTTCAATTCCTAGTTTAAATCCCCTTTGATCGTCGCTGCACGCATCACGATCTGAATCTCCTATTGAAATCTGTCCCCATGTCGATGCAGTCGTTTAGAAATTAATTCATCAACGTGACGCGTGCGTATTGGACAACCAATTCGTAATTCCGAACGGTTAATTCCGATTCGCCCGTGAAGATTCAATTACGGATCGTTCGTTATTGAATTCCCCCGTTAAATCGCGTTCTCTTTCGGTAACGTGAAAGCGGAAAGCTGATTTGGAAACCGCGAAACAATGTGTGTGGGAGTGGAGCAGGTAGTTGCACTGTGATTCTAAGAGGAAACAGTGTATGGAGATTTATGGAAATCCTTCGACAGCCGTTCGATTTGCATTTCTTCCGTCCTGTTCGCGATTAAAAAACCGAGATATTAGAAAAATCTATTACATAAAAGTTGAATGGTTTCGAGGGCGAGATAATTTGACGTGAGTAGGTTTTTTTGTGGGTGAAAATATTTTTCGGTATCATTGAAGATTTCGAAGATATTAATTATCTAAAATAAAAAATTGTTTGAAAATAATTTATTTGAATTAAAGATAAAATAAAATTAGTTTTCTTCTGTTATTTATACAGTAATAATAATAATAAAGTATTTGACATGACTCATTATTTCGAATGATTATTTGTTATCTTATTTCAAATAAAATGTGACCAGATCCAACGTATTAAAATTCCACGTCTACTTTTTGTGTATTCTCAATTTCCTAAAAACCACCTGAAAATTTGAACCAATTCCATTCAAAGAGCTAGAAACGTAAAGAACAAGTAAGGAGAACATCAGTGTTAAACGATTCACCCCGTACATCACGATTGGCCCATCAATTTTTCAGCTCCGTTCCATTCGGATTGGATCTGCTAATGGTTATCCGATGGCTGCTCATCCTTCCACGGTCGATTCCGCGGATTCGACGTCTGAGCGAAATTTAATTCCACCGAGTAGAGGAGGAGGGGTAGATTTTGTCGAGTCGTGTGCGATTCGTGGCCGAAGAAAGGAGACGCATATAATGGGATGAAAGGTAATATTGTTCATCTGAATGTGATAGACGTGGTTGGAGAGCGGAAAAAGGAATTGTCCGCTCGATGGAAAAACATATTTGCAGCAGAGAGGATTTGATGGAGTTGGTTGTTGGGTCACAGGCGAGGTGTTGCACACACTTCTCGGCCGGTAGAACGCGACGGAACGATTGCTCTCAAAGTCCATTGTAAACAACTAGACCGATTGAAATCGGGATTGGAAACGAAACGGGCAGCGTTAAATCCAAACAGGAAGGGAAAGGAATCCTTTTCGAACGGGACAAAGCACGATCGCATACGGCGGGCACGGCCATTACAGGAAAGTGGGGGCATTTCGCTGGGAACACGCTCGATTCTCGACTGTCTATTTCGTCGATTCTACCACAGACACTTTTCTCTAGTTCGTGATATCGTTTTGTTTGCAGCGCCGAGTCCATGAACAAAGAGTCCTTGACATGTTTGGTCTTTAACGTATAGGAGCAGTTTGAATTGTTTAAGCTCAGGTGATTTTTGCGAGGCGTTCAAACTTATCAAACAGTTTGATGATGTGCTTCAAACTTCATTTGACTCTGGAGTTTGAAACGACTCATCAAACTGTTTGGAAAAATGTACAGTGGATCGAGTGGCTTGAAGTTTGAAACATTTCCTGAAACTGTTTGAAACCGTTTACAGTGGTTTGGATTTGAAGTTTGAAACATTTCCTGAAACTGTTTGAAAGCGTTTACAATGGTTTGGATTTGAAGTTTGAAACATTTCCTGAAACTGTTTGAAAGCGTTTACACTGGTTTGGATTTGAAGTTTGAAACATTTCCTGAAACTGTTTGAAAGTATTTACAATGGTTTGGATTTGAAGTTTGAAACATTTCCTGAAACTGTTTGAAAGCGTTTACAATGGTTTGGATTTGAAGTTTGAAACATTTCCTGAAACTGTTTGAAACCGTTTCCAGTGGTTTGGATTTGAAGTTTGAAACATTTCCTGAAACTGTTTGAAACCGTTTACAGTGGTTTGGATTTGAAGTTTGAAACATTTCCTGAAACTGTTTGAAACCGTTTACAATGGTTTGGATTTGAAGTTTGAAATATTTCGTCAAACTGTCTGGACAGTCTGAGCACAATTTTCAATTTGAACGCCTCCCTTTGGACCGTTCAAACAGTCACATGTTTGAACACGTTTGAACGGTTTGATCACCCATCACTAGTCACACGTTAGCGAAGTAAACAGTTGAGACGTGTTGAAAATACACTTTCCCGAATGTGACTCACTTTCATCCGTAATATTGTTTCATCGTGCACAAAATACGGTCGAATGGATGTATACGAACAGGAATAAATTACTGGATATTGGCATTTTCGAATAAATGCTGAAATATGGATAAATGTTCCATCGATCGTCGATTTATCCGCGCGTGTTTTAAACCATCCCAGTAAATTGAACAGATTTCACTGCTCCCGGTCGTTCTTCGAGCAATATTTATGGTTCGCGCGCGCGCAAGAAGAAATCGATAGTCCAAAGTTGGCGCGCGTATTACGAGCTTCCATCAGACGGGGGCTCTCTGCTTAATTTATCGTCTGCAAAATTACTCAGCGTCGGGGTCCTTTACCTTTGACCCATGAAAACTTTGCTTTGACCGCCGTTTGGTATCTTGCCCACCACATTCTTCATCCCACGTTCCAGCGGACTTCAGAAAGGGGAACTTTATCCAGGATCGTATTCCAAAGGACACGTTTAATAGAGTCGCAAGCAAGTCTACGTGGATCACTCGATTATGAAATATTATTATTATCTGTGTATTTTGGGAGGATTTCTTGATGCAAGAAAGACGATTTTTAGTGTGGACATGTAGTGTTAAGCTTAATTTTTAATCGATAAAATAGGACCACGACGATCTTCGATTAATCGAAACGAATACTTCGATCGTTGGGCAAGTGAACAGATTTTAATATCATGAACAAGCCATTTCTCGTCTGTTGCTGACACTGCTGCAAACAAATCTCATTGGAAGTAGTATAAATTTAAATTTTATACTAAAACGCGACTGTATTTAACGAAATTTGAAATTTAAATTTATACCTGTGGACAGACGATTCGCCGCCGACTGTAGCTCGTTTTTCTTTTTGCTCAGCAGATCCCCGTAGCCGGATAGCAATTCCAGATACGACGTCGGCGTGACGTAGTTGTGACGATTCAATTCCTGCGGAATGAAGATTTATAACTTCGTTTTCTTTTTTCACGTTTCGTTACAATACCTTTCCACGATCAGGATTAACGAGACTTTTGATATAATGTCTTGTACTTATGGGTAGTTACTACTTTTGTCTTTCAAATCTTTATCTATTATTCGAACATAACACTTTCGATATAATGTCTTGTACTTATTGGTAGTTACTACTTTCGAATTTTAAATTTAGTAATTAGATGAAATTTTGACCTTGCATAAACTTCTATAATAATATTACTAGGTGTACCAATAAGGGACTTCCCACAGTTCCAATATCAAGTTCCAAACAAATATAAATATAAATAAAATAAATATGGTGGAAAAACATTTTAGATTCAGAGTATCTTTCCAATCTTCTGTTCAGTCAAAATGGTGGATAATGATACGAACCAATAACTAATATTGTTAAAATAGTATTTGAATTCCATATTTCGAAGTGAATTGTAGAGTTTCACAGAAACTACTGAACTGTCTTATTGGCACATCGAATCTGTTCCTCTAAAAATTGGTACACCCAAATCTTTCGATATTTCACGAAACTCTTAATTCGTCCAAAACACATATCCTAGAAACACTTCATTTCATACATGTAATAAGAAAATCATTTCGATCCAATAGGAACACGCTCGTACACTCCCTTGTTCGCCGAGTATAATTTATAAGACGGAGTTGGAGTGGTTTCAAACAGAAGGGAACTGCTTTGTCTCCGTGCAAGCACTAGATTAGTGTCTTGGGATTCGAATTGTTAATAGTGTGACTCGCTCGGGAGCAGTTGCAACTTTGTTCAGAGCAGCTATGCCGTTCCATAAACTAGTTCCCAGGAAGGGGCGAGGCCCTTCGAAGTAACATAACAATTACATACTTCACTATGTGTCAATAGAGGGACCATTGTTTCGATCAGTATTTACCCTTATCCAGAAATAGAACAACGATTCATGTTTAACGGTAAATGATTAAATATAATATACGCACAGAAATACAAGAAAATATTTTTGTTTGATAATATTTCATAATATTAACGAATATTTAAATAATTTTGGAATGAAAGAGTTATGACACATTTTGTATGCTCACCTTGAGGTAAACGTCGCTCGCCTCGATCACGCTGGAGTGCATGTACTGGCACATCCTGACGATCGATCGCAGAACGTCCTCGGTGATGGATTCGTCTTTGATGTCGGATAGAAATCGCGTCGCGACGCTCTGAAAAAGAAGAAATCAGGGTATTTCGTAATTCTTTTCTCCTACCCTCTAATCAGTACCCACCTAACTCAGTGTGAAAAGGGCTCAGAACGGCGCGACGAAAGATTGACGTTCACCGACACAAGGCTGTCGTGTAAAAGGTTTCAGGTAATTCATCTTTAATGAGCTGGATTTGCGAAGAATTTTGTTTTCATTTAAGGGGTTACATACTTTTGAGCTGTTACATAAGAGGGAAAATAAAAAAGTTTTGGTGTATATGCAGAATTATTGTTTATTACAAATTTAACATATACATCTTATTATATGTTATTTCCTTAGTCATTCCGGAAAAATTGAGCTATACAGGGTGTCTCAGCTAACTTGATCACCTCAAATAGTGAAGGTCAAAACATTTTTACTCAGAATTTGATACTCTATCGATCTATGGTATAAAAAATAGGTGATTCGGTTAAAAAAAATCAAGGTGACCTTGAAATCTCTGAAATGCCATTGAATAAAGTTTCACGCCTAAAAATTTTCATAAAGTGTACCGTTACATCATTATTCGAAGTGATCATGTTAGCTGAGACACCCTGTATGGCTCAATTTTTCAAAAATTACTAAGGAAACAACATATAATAAGATGTATGTGTTGAATTCTTAGTAAACAATATTTCTGCATATACAAAAAAATTGTTTAACTTTCCCTCTTGTTTAACAGATCAAAGATATGCAATCCCTTAAACTACATTTCACGGTTAACATTACTTTCCAGACGTGTTCCCTCAAATGTCACGAAAAATTTCGAACAGATGTAATCCGTGTGTCGTCTGGTGGAAAACGTGTCTGACCAGCGACAGCCGCATTTCCCTAGCGACCTGTCCTTCTTTCGTCGTTCCTGAGGCTCGAAGTTTCTACTTTCGCAACAGCCATTGGGGCTAATCGTTGCTTCGGTTAAACTCGTTTCTCAAGTTGTTCCACGTCTCGAAGTTTCTCTAACCAACGGTTTTCTCGTTTTAGATTTTCAAATACTACACACTGCGTACCGTAACCATAAAAATAACCCTAAAATTTTCAATCGTTACGTATTGTGGTTAAAATAAAAACGGATCACTTTCTTTTCTAGGCGAATTCTATCCTTTTCTGGAGAAACATTATTTTTCAACACGATTTCAGACATGGCATCACTTGGTTCGTTTTTATTTTAACGACGATACATAAGAATGGAAATTTTTAAGGTGGTTTTATACCGTGGGTAAAAAATGTATTCGTACAGATTTTAAAACAGAACAACTTCTCGAAATTGACTACTTTCTTCGCTATTCCGACCAATAGCAACTTTTCCAAAAATTGTTGGACGTATCCTTTAGTAAACTAATCCTTCCAAGTTCACAAAAAATCTCAAGACAGTTGGTCCAATTTTAACGAAGTTCTTCTATTTTAAAGACTAAGCAAATACTTTTTTCATCCACTGTACACAAAACTGCAAAAAGAAATACTTTTTTTTCGTAATTGTTAAATTATTCGGGAACGAAAGGGTGAAAAATGAATCGGTTCGATGGAACAGATTTATCATTAGTAGACTGCGGATCTTTATACAAATATAGATTTTTATTATCTATTTTACAAAAACTGGCATCGAACAGAAATTCTTTTGCCTTATTAAGGATACTATTAGGCTCCAAATAAAACAGACACCTCATCGAAGTTCATTAAACATGTTTAAATACAGAGATCTAAACAATCCTATTCGCTGTAAATGCATAAAATCCGCAGTCTATTTATCAGTAATCACGGCCACGTTTCGAATTACCAACCACGAGGTGTCTAGTTCGTAGACGAACCGTAGCGTCAAATAGATTCGTAATCGTGTTTCCGTTAATTCGTCGTAATCCACAAGGGACGGTAAATTATGTCACGAACCTGAAGCGCCGCTTCCGGCCACGGGCAGAACCAATCGATCGTGCAGCAATTCACCAACGCCGGAAACTGTCTGATCCGGGCGCGGAAAACCTCGCCGATGGGACTGCGGAGGACGGACAAAAGTGTCACCTAGTGAAATTGGGTTGTGTTCCGCGACAGACACCGGCCAATTTTCTATTTAGGTCTAACCCCCCGGTAAATAGAGAAACGAACGGATCTAATGAACGGAATTGTTCGAATTGGTCACGGTGGTGGTTGTATTATCCAGGGACTTAAATCGGTATGATTTTAATACCAGTATTATGCCATCAAAGCTATACCGAAACCGATATTTTACCGAAAACGAAAATAAATACCGGTATTTTTTAAGTTTCTATAAGGGTAGGGCTTATATAGGGTTATTATTGGGCGAAGATTCAACCGAAAATACCGGTACAATATCGGTATTTTACGTTTCCATAGAAGTTTCTGGTATCATCGAGAGAAAACTACGATATTTTAGCATCCTGCCAGGGAGCTGTGGACCCCCAATTTTCGGTATTATTTTCGTTGGCCATTCTAAAAGTAACCTCTGTTGATTTTCATTCTTCCGATTCAATTAGCATTTCTCGTTTTTTCCCGATCGTTATTCCCCCTTTTCAATGTTATTGGAACGCAGCTCATTATTTTATAATTGCTGCGATTCAATTAGTAGTCACTTTCTTTGGTATCCTATATTTTTACTACTATTATTAGATTGCGGAATAACTTTATGCAAAGTAACATTTCTTGAAGTGATTTGTAAAAGCAAATGTAACGATTGAATTTTTTGCCATTCCTTAAGGATTTTATTACGACGAGGGTAAGACAGAAAATATATTAGATGTTAGGTTTACCATTTATCATATTTCACATGGTCGTGTATGGTATAAATGTATGTAATCTGCAGTCTAGTTATTACTCATCGCCATGGGAAAGTAACTTTTCTTAAAGAAATCGAAAATAATTGTAAATTAGAAATCATTGAGAACAAACAAAATTGTCGAGTACAAATTGTTCATGTAAGTGCAACTTTTTTTCGAAACACCCTGTATTGTTACAATGCTTTCTGATCTCTGTTTACGTATGTTAGTAAATGTCCTTCCCTGGAAAATCATCTATAAAAAACAGGAAAGTCGTACGGTGGACCATAAAACGTGTCTGACCATGGCAGATCCGTTTCTACTTACGCTGTGTCCCATATTTCTACCCGTTAAGCCTCGTTTCCAACGATACAGATGACACGTGACTCCTTTGTGTACTGTATACGATACATGGAACCACCTAAAATTTTGCGTTCTAATCGAATTTGCTCGTTGGAATTTCGTGGTAAATTCTTGGTAGAATTTGGATTGGTTGTTCGTTAACAATCTGTAACTAATACTATTCACGGGTAACTATTAAATTTTCATGAGATTAATCTCGAATTAACTGGAATTTCAGAGAATTCCGTGAACCTGTCAGCACCAAAATTATCCAGTTCTATTAAGATGCAGAGATCGGGGTCCACTAGACTCATTAAGAACAATCAGGAAAGTGGGATACCCGTTAGGGCGCTGTGGCCCGGGTGGTTAAGGCGCGGAATTGATCAGCCGTGGATCGGAGTAACTAACGCGAGTTCAAGTCCCGCTCGACCCACTCCCACTTTTTCCTCCACTTTTTCCTAGGTTCCTATAATAGCATACTAAATTGAATAAGCAAACTAAAAAGTTGATGTAAAATCGTATAAAAACAACCGTCACAATTTTAATAAATATACCTTAAATTAAAAAATCTGAAAACTGTCAACTCGACATGGGTTTGATTCTAAGTGTGTAGTAATGTTTCTAGTGTCAACTAGCTAATTCCACGCGGCGTGTACTTTCATTACTTCTTCGTTCACAAAAATAGGGCCACGACAATAGCTAAAAAATTAGAATAAAATTCTATCCAATACCAGAGCCGTGAGAATGCCTCGTAATCCTCAACGACTCAGCCAAATTGCTCTGAAAGTAAGCTATTGCTCGTAAAATTAATGCTTCGTGTTACAACCCCCCCACGCCCACGCTTTCAGTTCGGGAAACGGGGTATGTTCCCGTGGCAGGCGTGTACGCCTAACTACTTGCGAAGGGAGAGCACAGTCTGAGCGTTATTAGTCATCATTAGCCCCGTTATTTATTCCCAGTTGAATTCGGAATCAACGAAGGGTGGTGTCTCGCGGCGTAGACGAAGAAGGATGAAGGGGGTGTGTTACCTCATAGGGAACTTTTGGCGGGATAATTCAAAATATCAAACATACGTAGGACGTGTTTAACCCGCTAACTGCATCTTTTTGGTATCTTGTATACATTTTTTTTTTCATAAAATTAAGAAACAATACTCATGTTGAGACTATTTGAAAGATTTTTTTTTAAATACTTCTTTTTATAAACAATGTGTTTGCTCACGATAAATAACGGTATCAGTAGTCACAGTGACACCGTTTTTCTAATGTTTTCTTGTAATTTAAAGAAGTTTCGTACTGCTAATCGTCAAGAAATCGAATGAAGGTAACGAAATCAATAAATGAAATAAGTGAAGGACTAACATAATAAACATAAAATAAAGACTCTGATGGAATAACATAACATACACAAAGGTATTGAAAATTGTTAATTAAATTTTTAATGTAAAAAATAGTGGCGGAAGGATTTCATTAAAATAAAGATGGGTATGTTTGAAACGACCCAAAAATTCCCACAAACTTCCCACGATCCAAACCTACGTAAAACGCTACAACAATGAATTTTTTCTGATATTTTACAACTTTCTGTGTGGAGGAGGGTGTTCGTTACCTCATTGTGATGACGAGATGCAAATTGTTCCGAACCGTTTTGACGTAGGCGGAGAAAAGATTGCTCCTATTAATCTGGAGTCCGGCTTCTTGCACCAATCCACGCATCGAGTGGTATATCCTCTCCATCTCGTCCACGTGGTATATATTCGGCACGTCGCCGTTATTTAAAATGCTGTTTAAATCCTCCAGCATACGCTCATCCTTTATCTGCAACAGGAAAAAAAATCGCTTACGTAAGGTCGACGTCTCCCTTTTCGAGGTTGTTGAACCGAGAGAGCCATTTAAACTTTCTGACGTCGTCGTCGTCTCTGACGTTTTCATACGGATCAAGTCGTGCGCGATATACCTTCTGCTTCGATGGAAAGACAGAAATTCTCGAATGTCGTCACCACTACGGATTTTTTTGTTAATATCGTTCCACGAGTATCTTAATTGTTCTAACTTCATTTTTCATAAAAAATGTCGTTAATCTACGTGCGTCTTAACACATTAAGGACCGCAGAGAAATCTGTAAGACATACGCCTGGGACCGCACGTTTTTGTGGCAAACTTGTACAGCACGAGAAAACTCGTGAGCGGTCCTTAATGTGTTAAGAACACTTCAAAACTAGTCCAACGATATGTGAAGAAGTCGTGCTGTATTAGAAAGATGAAACAGCGTAATTTTTTTGGAGAAGGTAAATTTATTCTAGGATGAAAGGACGTGGAAATGCAGAGTTTCTGAAGATACAGAAATTGTGCAACGCATCCGAGAAATTAATATTTATCAAATTGTTTGTTTCTCTTTGCCAGTATCTATATTCAGGATAAGTTTAAGAGCTCCGATATTGCTCCGTGAAGTTTCAATTCCCCCAGCTTCAATCTTCTCGATATTCCAGGCTACTCTCAGAGTTTCATTAAAAAATTTTCTGGGTAAATCTACCGTCCTAGGCCACCCCCTCCTGTATTCTGCTTTGATATCCAAGATTTTTTTCTCCCCTTCCGTGAATCTTTAATTTACCCTTTGTTCCTCTTTTTACAGAGCCCTTAACAATATCAGTTTTACACCGTCTACGGTTACCCACTCCAATGTGCAGGTTAAGCTACAATAAACAGCAGTTGAAATAGTTAAAAAATAATAATCTCGGCGGACTTTATTAAAAATTTACTGAGTTTTAGTTAATTGTGTATTCGGTAAATGGATAAAATCCGCAGTCCAGTGATTATTATTAGCAAAAAAGAAAAACTATCGTGGTACCAGAATGTAAATTGAAATTTCGTTCTGGATAAGAATCCGTTAAGTGAAAAAAAGAGAAACTGTAAAGCACCGCGACAGAGTAAGCCACAGACTGCCAGTTTTGTAAGAGAAATTCACTCGACGGGGATAAATGAAATTGAGCAGTGGGGATTATTCTGCGTGGCCCAGTTTCACGGAAGGGAATGCAATCGACGAGAAACTGGATGTAGAGGATGTATATGCTCTATTCGTGCGTACCTGCGTGTCCGAGAATAAGAAGACTATCAGCGTGTTCTGCATCCCAGCCTTCATCATCGACATCTTGATGTCGTCGCGCCAATCGTTGTTCGTGTACGCGCCACTCAGCTCGATTTGAAAGCACGAGTAGTCTTGTATGTGACTGCTCAGCCTTGTTAAACTCTGTCGACCTGAAGAACAGAGACGATTTTTCGTTGCAAAATTAAAGGGTTAGTCCACCCTGACCGTTCGATGACAAAAGTTAAAAAAAAAATGTGGACTGACTTCGAAATGTGCGAGAAAATAGAAATTAATGTTTATTTTTATTATTTACACAGACATGAAACAACGGTTAAGAAAACCTATTTTCCCTTACTAAATTAGCATATTAAATATATTGCAACTTTTTTGTAGGCGGCGTAGAATTGAAAGTTTTCTTCTCTTAAACAGTCCATAATTACGTTTATACGGACTTACGTAATTCTGATATAACAACCATATTTTTAATTCTGTACCACCTTTGAAAAGGTTGCAATAATATGCTATTTAGTAAGGGAAAATAAGTTTTCTTAACCTTTGTTGCATTTCTGTATAAATAATAAAAATATAAATTATTTAATAGAAATTATTTTCTATTTTTCAGCGAATTTCGAAGTCGGTCGTTCTATTCGAATTTATTTCAATTTAACAGCAAGTTGCATTTACTCTGCTTCTGTCGAGTATACTCGTCATAAGCTTAAAAACAATTAAGCACACAAGTGCACGTTTTCTAAATAGAATTAACAACATTTAAAGAGTTAATGAGTATAGTACTATTTTTCATTACATTCTACGTATCGATTAAAACAGGATAAATCTTTCTTGTAGGGGTTGAACGCTATTAATCCTGATCTTACATCCGGATAAAACTGATACTGATGATTCGACCATTAGAAACGGTAATCTCACAAGGTACAACCAATCATTCTCGACAGACGCTATTATTACTGGCACCACATATTATCGTTCCGTTTATCAAAATAATAACTTCCAAGCTAGAAAATCCACCCCCCGAAGCATTAGAAGGGTGGCCGCGAGAAGAAGCCCGACGGGCGACTAATACGGGCCGTTTTTTTTTCTCTGCATCACCTGATCCTCCCATTCCCAGAAGAAGGGCGTTCCCGCGTGGCTGCCTGAGGATACGATTGATCCTGCAGATATGATCTATGGCGTCCTGGAAGAGCACCAGTTTCATGGGGGACGTGGTTGACGCGTTGTAATCCTCCAAAAAATCATCCAGCACGCGCTCCATCTACACAGAGGAAGCGAATACGATAAAAACGAAGGAGAAAAAGAAAAAGGTAATTCCTGTGTCACATATGAAATGTTCCCGTCGGTGGATTATATTTTTATCTTGGTTGAACTAGAAACGGACATTTCTTGCACGGTTCCCAAAAATAGAAATAAATTCTTCGAAACAGTTTCTCCCTATAAATAACTGTACACTCGAAATAGTATCGGTTGCGTAGGACGTTTGCAATAGGGGAAGGGAAAACGGATACGTGCTTTCTTCGTGTTGATGATTCTCTCGTACTCTCTGCTCGTTCCACAAAAGTCACCGTAGAATAGTACCCCGTCACCGATCACTGTTCCTGCGTCGCATTCGAAGTTTGTTCCCATGATGCTTCGCAGGAGATCATCGAACCACTCTCGATCGGTATCGTTTACTAGACGATCGCTGAACACTCGTAGATTCTCGTGGTACCAGAGTAACAATAGTTTCTCGCGAGTCTGGAAATAGGGGTATAATCATTTTGCATAGCAGTGGTATAATATTTCTGTATAGTAGTAGCATAATAGTTCTGTATGGGAGTAGTATACTAGTTGTGTATGGTAGTAGCATAACAGTTCTGTATTGTAGTAGTAATAGTAGTAGTAGTAATAGTATCATAGTTCTATATAGTAATAGTACAGTAGATCTGTATAGTACTAGTATCATAGTTCTGTATAGTAGTAGTATTATATTTCTGTATGGTAACAGCATAGTAGTTCTGTGTAATGGTAGTATCATAGTTCTTTATAGCAGTCGTATTAATAGATCTGTATGGTAGTATAATAGTTCTGTATGGTATTGGTATAGTAATTCTGTATAGTGGTAGTATAATAGTTCTTCTTTATGGTAGTAGAATAATAGTTCGGTATAATAGTAGTTCAGTTGTTTGTATAGTAGTAGTATAATAGCTCTGTATAACAATTTTGTTATATTTATTATGAAAATTTTCATTGTAGATGAAGAAATAAGGTGTTATATGGAGGGAAGAAATTCCAAAATTTGTTGGTAGAAACCTTAATTTTCACTGGATTCATCATCAACATCCCTTGGAACACCTTGCTGAGATCTCGTAAATTGAAAGTGTAATGGGACTTGTGGGGGGTTGGTAGCAATTCCTTGCATATCGTGGCGAATACTTTGAGGGTGGTTTCTATGAACGCGTCCAGCGTATCACCGAACTTCTCTGTACGGGAGAGCCACGAGTACAAAATCGTGCCGAAGATGTTTCTCTGGAAGATAATGTGAATTGTATCGATCGACGTTAACACTAGGACTACTGAAGCAGTCCAAACGACTGGTTTTAGTACACTCTTATAACGATGATTGAAATGGTCTAACAATCCATTTTCTCAGATTTTGTACAACTTTTATTGCAATACGAAAGTGATGGAATTAGTTAATTTATAAATTAGTATGTTTTCAAAAAGTTTATCGCATTTATCGATCCGATAGAATTAGAAGAAAGTTTATCGTTGGTAGTTCTAGTGTTGTAAGCATAAAAAAACGATTCGAAATACTTGACGAAGAGATGCGAGGAAATGAAAATTCTAACGATGTTACCTTCGAAGCGTGTCTGATTATAGGAGAAACGTATCTCCTTGGCGCCTTCACGTCGATTCATTGACAATTCAGTAGCGTAGGTCAATAATATCAACCACGTACTTGTAAGATTCGATAAATTTAAGGTCAGTGTTTGTGTTCTTTTACAAAAAAAGGCAAAAAACATTGAATGACAAAAAAGAAATCCTTTAAAAATCCTGCAAAAATTTAACCATGCTGTGAGTCACTGCGTTTTCCAATGTGACCTTATAAGTATCTATTTTGTTACATATAAAAAACAGGATTAGGTGGCCAGAAGCTAATAGAAGTATGATATTCTGCACAAGTCTATAACCGTGTTCTAGGGGAAACATGTTCTAGGGGGACCGTCTTCTAGGAATACCGTCTTCTAGGAATATCGTCTTCTAGGAACATCAGGTAAAAGGGGTACCGCGTTGTAGGGGTACCGTCTTCTAGGAATACTGTTTTTACCTCTCCTTGTCACTGTCAAAGAGCCATAGAACACTCATCGAGGAGTTACTGCAATTTGAATCTGTCAAGTATGGAATCGTTGGAAGTGTCCCACACGGTTCGTATAAGACAGAAATTTTCCAAACAGGAGTGACCTTGCCCGATCGGTTTTAAACCCTCTGAGGGAGGAACGGCGAGGGTGTCCCAGGACGCATAGGGATAGTTTACGGCCGCTCATTATTGGCCGCGCACGCGGGCGATTAAGATAAATTATGGCGAGCTCAGGCCACGATTTACGAGACCTAATTGCACCGAGCACAGAGGGAGAGGTAGGGACGACAAACATTGGCACAGTCTCATTCACGAGCGGTAATTATTCCGTGTGGGCGTGGATCGACGACTCCGATGGAATAAAACCGGATGAACGGAAAGTGAGCAAGAGACCTCCGTCCGCTTGGAACTTGCCCTGGGTCTTTCGTTTCATGCCCGATGAGCTGTGCGAGAAATGACAGCTTCTTTCCTTTAATCCTGCCGCGAGCTTAAGCCGATGGCAATGAGAGACAGAGAAATAATCACCTTCTCCTTTGATCAGCTTCTGGGGCACGGTCACTCGTGGCAGGTTAAGATACACTCCCGTCCAAAAGTCATCGAAATTGAAACGGAAAATATTTTGAAGCAATTTTGATCGACTGTATATTCTATTTTTAGGGAAGGCAGTGATTTTTGAACATAACTTCAAAAACACCTTTCGCTGTTTAATATTTAATAATTAATATTTAATACTTTAAACATTTTTTTTTAATATCAATAAATAACTATGTCCCCGAATCACTGTCTTTCCTAACTTATAATCTTATAACGTTTAAAAATTAACGAAGAACCTCGTGGAAGTGATTCTAGATTGCGTGGAATTAAGGGAGAATTATTTTCAAAAATTCACTGTTAAATTGCTACGATTCATTTGAATGAATATTCCTGAATAATATGAACGCACTAGTTGAACAGATATTTAAAATTGTTCACAACGTTGAATATAATTTACATTATCTGCAACGTGGAAAATTAATAAGAATTAGTTTATTTTATAATTTAAGTAACATTTTTAACTTTACTCCTTGCTTATTCCACCCTCAGCGGCCTTAAATGTCCGGCGACTTATGGACGGGAGTGTACGTTTCCGTTTTAGGTGGAGCTAGAATAACTTCTCAAGGTGTGGACTACGTACAATAAATTCAAATGAGAACGACCGTATCACAAATTGGTTACTACAGAGTTATATTGCCTCCTTTAATACACGTTTCGGGTCCATCAAGATCCGTATTGATCGACGTGTTAAGGTGCGTATCCATTTGTCGCGTATATAAACGATACGCAACAAGTGGATACGCACTTTTAATTGACACGAATGCCAATTCATACGTCAAATGAATATCCAAAGCTGTGTATACACTTACCGACCAAGCACGAACGGTTTTTCTTCGATTTATCGACTGAGCATTCAGTTTGCGTCCGTTCGTTACCTGCAGACGTAGCTTAAGAAAACAAACGCGCACATAACCTAATTGTGCGATGCTTCCAATTGTTTTTCGCTGCATACATCAAGGTTTATCAATAAAATTAATCGATACAGTTCCCCAAAATTAATACCCCAGCCCGACCGAAATAAAAAAGTAAAAACCGGTAGCAAGATTACCAGCGAAGATCGTATTCCCTAAAGAAACAAAAAAGTTTCGTTCCTTCGACGTAAACCCGTAAATTAAAGGTACACCCGGAATTAAAGCGAGCCATCCGGCGATAGTGTGGGCAAAAGTGAATTTCCCTCGGCCACGAATGGCGCGATTCGAGATTTCGGGGGGATCGTAAAAAAACCAGTAAAGTTTATGCCCTACGGCCCAGGCCGGAAGAATACTTTCTCGTTTTATTATCCATGGGCGTATTGAGGAGACAGGAACGGGCACTTACCTCCCTTCCCCCAGAAGGAAAAAAGTGGCCTTTGAAAATTACATTACATTAATGACATATCAACGAAAACCCCCAGCCAATCAGACCGCGAGTCTGTCAGTCGAGCTTTAATTGGAAATCTCGTTAACAAATCCTCGGATAACAATGTTTGCTAAAGAAAAAACTTATTCCAAATCATCTCACGAGTGACCCATTTCAAGGACCTACAGAGTCTTCTCGATTATTGTCTGGCTTGTTCTACACGATTATTGTCCAGGTGTTATCCCCACCACTGAGGGGCGTGGAACATATCAAGCGCATACATTGCTGCCCCTCCGCAAAAAATGAATTTATGAGAGTTTGAAACATTTTTTCCTTTAAGATTATTGTCTTGGCGCGATCCCGAGTTCGGGACAATAATCGTGAGGAGTCTGTACAACACTTCTGTTACACCCTGTATAGAATTCAATGGTGTAAACATGATCGGTGGCGAACCGGGGGTTCCACCAGGAACGGCCCCTTGCGGCGCAAGACAGTTTTAGAAGCGGTGGTGGGGGAGATGTGGGGTGAAGGGTCAAAGTTTCTGAGGGGAACCTGTACGGTGGTCGCCGAGCGTGAAAACTCTGACACGGTCGATGAGACGAAGATAAATTATATTCCGTTCCCCCATGTCTTCGTCTTTTTTAGCCCCATTAGCCGGCGATGTCCCGTTTATGGGACACGTTTCTGGGGATTTATTTTTAAAACGGATTGAGACTTTATTAAAACCTGCCCGAGGACCCGCCGTGGTTTAGCCATTTCTCATTTGCTACGTTTCGACCGTGACGCGAATTAGGCGAGGGGAGTAACATAGTCTGAATGATTTTTCATACTTTAAAATACGTAATGCCGTTTTGTGTGAAAGCAGACCTCGAAGTCTCGAGTTTTTTGAGGGTTTATTATTATAAATCCGACGTAATGATATCGAGACATTACTCTAACACAAAGAATGTTATATAAAATTTCTCTTCCTGTTTTCCCGAGTTTTATAACTGTACTATACACCGTGTTATGCTATATAGTGTAGACGCAGCTTTATAGACCTAATACGAACGACTTCTTTATAAAACCCACGGAAACAGAGAACAGTTTCAATAACAAGAAAATGTAACAGGTGAAATTCACTGCAAAACCTATCAGAATTATCCCAATTTCAAAAACAGCCGACATTTTCGCGAATATTCGACTATTTAACGATTTTTTTGCTTTCGAAAATATCGAAGTGTTACCGCCGCCATTTTGAAATCCAGATGTCTGTATAACTCGAGCGAATAAATTGGAAAAATCGAGCTGAAAATGTGGGTCGATAATAGGAGCACAATAAACACCGAGTTTTTTTATGTAATTGATATAGAAAAGCGAGTAATGGAAGAAGAAAACAATGAAATAAACACGTCAGAAAATTCCGACAACCCAGCGGGATAATTGCTTCCTGTCTTTTCACAGTCAGCTAACGACTTCCTTTGCGTGGAAAAGGCTGTGAGGGGTGGTTGGTTGCCCGAAGGAATGGCTCAAGAATTACCTTGGCGTCGTCCTCCATTTCCGGGAACGCGATGAAATGGAAATGTCGCAATAGTCTGGCAGTTACTGGATTCCGACCGCCGCCAGGTGGTCCCATCGCTCCGACGAAATTCACGTCCTCGATCCGACGAAACGATCCGATCTCTTTCCTGTCGTACCACCCTGAAAAAATCGATGTCCGTTGCCTTTAATCCTTCCCGATTCATATTATACAGGGTGGACCACGAAGCTAGCTGTTCGATCTAAACTTTGTTTCGCTAGTATAGTAAACGCACCAATAAACGAACAGTTAAGAGATTTTGTAATTATTGAAATCATATTTTAAATGATAATAATGTTGAAACGTATTTAGCATTAGAAAATTATATTATTTAATATATATACTTTTTGATAACGTATAGGTTTTCATGTGAAAAATTGGAAAAATGTAAACTTTTTATTGCCAAAGAAAATTTTTTGTCTTCATCAAGATCTAGAAACACAATTGTGACAGATATGAAGCAAAATATTCCATTTACCCTAATTGAAAAAAAATGAAAGTTTAATATTGCGTTTATACAACATGCTGTTAATGGGTTAATTTCCGTTAGACTCAATGTTGGTAGTTCTAGAGTTAATCTGAACCGCACACAGTCAGTGATACTGATCATCAGTATTATCAATTTGATAGCGCTGACGTAATCATTGTTTTCGTGATCCCAGAGTATCATTGTTGTTGTCAGAATTTCGGTCGTGTATTTCTACCAGGCATACTATAACCAAACCTGACGTGAATGTACAGATTGCATGATGGTACGATGACAAAGTTTAATCGATCGATATTTGACTGTACGAATGATGGTCTATCAGTTCATCCGACCCAAGACTGTTCTTTAACAAGAGAACCATTCGTCTCTATAAACGCTGATGAAACGTCGACATTCTAACGTCAGATCGTGCCCGAGGTCAAACATCTACTATGGAACAACAAAAACGACATAATTTATTTAGCGAAAAGTATGCACCCACCTTGAAAATCCATGAACTGTCGAAGTAATTCGATCGGTGGCTGGGCCCCGTACGTGTCGAGAGCTGGCATGTTCAGGTCGTCGACGAAGAAGATCTGTTTCCTTAATAATGGCGGTCCGTAGACATCTTTCCGCCTCTTGCCCAGCTTTTCGTCGATCAGATCCTTTTTAAGATCGACACGATAATAATAAGAATTATTATTAAAACGATTATGTACTATGAAACGAAAGAAAATATTGGGTGGATGTGTAAGTAATGGGAATTTTCCAAGTGATATTTTTTTATTACAATCAACCATCGATGAGTGTTGAGACGTCATCTCCACTATTGGGCGCTTAACTGGGTCCACGGGGGACTCACCCAGTGGTGGGGATGACGCCTGAATACTCACAAGGAGACATACCGGAAATTGAACCAACCGTAAAAATAAAAATGTCAATTTATCTGTATTTTATATTTGGGTATATAGTTTTCACATAGAAATGTACAAGAAAATCGATTAACATTTGACCAGAAAAATTATTTGTATAATATATTAAATATTAAATATTAAATATTAAATATTAATATATTACATAATTTAACTTGGCATACATTCAATGCTGGTAGTTCCGGTATTAAGTGCAAATCAGCATTAGGTTTGTAATCTTATCATAAATACTCTTTGCAAAATGAATTTTGAAAAAACTGAAGGATGCTTCAAACTTTTTCACGGTATTGTACTTCAACAATGCCGTCTCACTTTTCGTTTTTTTGTTTTCGATTACGGCATTCTCTTCTTTCATTATCTGTTCCGTATTATTGGTACTGTTTCTTCGATATAATTAATCTCAGATATAATGAAGTACATCCGTGATGTAATAAAGACCTTGTTATTATTAACGCTCGGAAAAGCGCGCCTTTTTTACGCAAAAAGGTAACAAGTTACAACGACGAGCTGGAAGATTTAAGGAACTCGATCCTTTATTACAGTTCGGAAAAGAAGGAAGAGTTATGTTCGCTGGACAAACTTAACCTTTTCAGGGATGAATTTATTAAGACCAGAATGAATATTTTGTTGTACTCTTCGGCTGTATTTAATTAATATACATTTATAAATATTAACAACAATCAGTTGGTAGGATGTCCCTTTTATTGGGGAATTTCCTAGTGAATATTTAATGGAATTAAATTAATAAATTTTTATTATTTTTTAACAAAAATAAGCTCATCGGTATCCCTCAAGAGGTTAATACTTTTCCTTATCCGATTGGGGCAATTATAATAATTATCAATGGAAAATTTCACGGCGTACCTGAGTCTGATTCGTGGTGGTCCGAGCGGAGAACGTGATGAAGTCGCAAATGAATCTTTTCGGCATGTTTCGCGACAGTTTGCCAGAGATGGTCAGAGTTTTTCCACTCCCGGTGGGACCGATGCAGAGAACGTTCGAGTCGTTGATCAACAAGTAACCGATCAACGTCGCGCTTCTCACGGTATCCATCGTTGGCACTTCGATATCTAACAGAAATAATCACAGAATCTGTCACAAGTTATTTCGTTCATTGCAAACACCTCGAATCGACAGAAAAAATTGAATCTTAAGGTAATTTTTGATAAAAAAAAAGTCTCAATTTTTATACATGGTGTCCCAAAACGTGTCACTGCCAAATTTTAAGACACAAAAAAAACAATAAAAGAAATTTCGTTTTTTTTTACATTATACAGGGTGTAACTTTCAATTTACCAGAAAACGGACATATTTTTTTCGAATTTTCAAACTTGCGACCTAGGGGTCAAATTTGTAACAAAAATAGTTTTAATATTTCTGCCTTGCAAAAATAACTTTACGTATAAAACAAGAAATCAGTTACAAAGAAGAATACTTTACGATCAACGTGAAAGAAGAATCAAAATTCCGTTGTGATGGCAGTTTTCGTAAAAATCGGTGAAAATGCCAACTTTGACGGTCTGTACGTTTTAATAACAATTTTCGAAACCAGAAAAATAATAATTTAACCTCCTGCTATTTTCACACGAAGTCTAACACATTTCAATTGTAGCAGAATCCCAAACATCGTGTACAAAAGTGATCCCCTTGACGTGGAATGACCCAGTATGACAGTCGAAGGACACGAAAGGACATACCAATTTATGCCCAGAAACGTTTAAAGCGCAATTTTTCAATCGACTGACAGCTCGAACGTCACCCCAAAAATAGCTGACGCTTCGGCTAACTACCAAGGGTAAGTGACCCAATTACGGAGTGGCCCGATGAGCTTGTTTTTGTTAAGAAATAATAATAACTGATTGATAATTGTTTTTTTTTTTAGAGCTCTTTAGTAAGTCTCATATTTCTGGAATTTCCAAAAAGAAATTTGTTATTGAATAATTGAAAATTAGTGAAATACAGAACGAACGAAAAGAAAAGTTTTTTGCTCCTATTATGGAGTGTGTTATTAAAAGTATAATATACATATATATATATATATATATATATATATATATATATATATATTTCTTTTTATTTTATTCCATAAAAGTATATTATTTATCTTTACTTTACTGTTTGAAGAATGCCGAACAAATTGTTAGATTCACCATTAGAATACGAAACATAATAAATAAGAGTTTAAATTGAAAATGTATTAATTCCCCCGAATAAAAGCGGAAATGAACTTCATTAAAAAAAATTATTTCAAAGTTGTATGAACACAATGTTTTTAATTCATAGAAATATAATTAACCCGTCACGATACAGACGCCAGTTGTAATTGGGTCACTTACCCTACAGTAGTTTTACTGCGGATCGATAGGGGCGAAAATATTGTCGAAACGTTTTCCAACGCGCGTCTAACTTACCAGCGTACTTGGTCTCGGGCGTGATCACGATCGATGGAATATCATCCAGCCATTTGTACCATCTGGGCGGAATTGGCTCGTTGCCATCGATCAGATCGGTGAAACCGCCGTCGTGCAATCTACAGAGGGACAATGTGGAACACATCATTGGGCCACGGGGCGTTCGTTCAATCAATGGAGCCAAGGGTTCAATCAATTACCTGTAATCGAAGACCAAACCATCTTCGGGGAACGGTGTCGCGTGGCGACGTGTTTTCTGAACGTTTCGAATCCATTCGCTGAACATACGACGACTGTTGTAATCGCTGGATGCACCCAGACTCCAGACCGCCGCGAACGCGGTCCAAGGCGACAGCAAATCGGCTGAAAACAAGGAATTAATTACTGTTCTCGATGTCGAATTTAACGGGGAACACCACTGAAATTTTAAAAGTAATCGATTTTTTTCAGAATGCTTTTTCTTCAATTTTAGCTCTTCGAAAATACTGTATGAAAATTTCAAATTGTATTTCGAAGAATTTATAGAGACACATTTTTTCGAGTGCATTTTGATTGCATGAATAATTTCAAGTGAAAGTTTAACCCGCTAACTGCATTTGTCCACCACAGTGGAAGTTGAGTTTATCATTTTAGTGACAATAATTGGAACATTTCTTGACGATCGGCAGTACGAACTTTCTTTAACACTAGGTTTACGGGCACTTATCGTGTAGGTATCTCCACGGCACGCATCAACGAACCCGCAGATTTTCTTTAAAAAACAACTTATTTTATATAATACACAATTTATGATCTCTGAAATTAATGCATAGCTATAGAGATAGGTATACCACATAGAGAATTTCGAGGTTAGAAAGCATTCGTAATGCGTCAAAATGACGCATCCCGTAAACCTAGTGTTAAATGACATCCAAACATTAGAAAAACGGTGGTACTATACCTACAAGTACAGTTATTTATCGTGATTAATAATTGAGTTATTATCACTCCTCGAAGTTTCGATCCGAAATTTTTTTGTTATAAACAAATAATATTTTGGACAATTTATTAGCACCATATTATTCTACATAAAAAAAACCGCAATCCTCGTCCATTAGAAGTTTCCATGTATCTCTGGTTTTCGAGATAGTACTTTCGGGTCGAAACTTCGAGGGGTGGTTTCACCTCTTAAAGTCGCGTCTCAGCCGATAAAAAAAATACGTATCCCTTATTTTTGACTGCTTAACAGATATACGAAGTTTCATCAAAATCGGAGGGGGACACTTCCGTGCCTTTCTTTGTGAAACGTATCGTGCTGGTAGTTAAAGGTCAACAAAAGCTACTTTGACGTCGTCGAAAGTTTCCCACGTGTCGGTTCGGCAGTCAAAGTGACACACAGCGGTCGACACGATTGGTCAAAGGAATTTGATTAAATTCGTACGAATGAGGGCTTGAAAAGCGGCTTGCGGAGGTGGTTTTCCCTCGCGGCCAGCCATTGGACCGATCCGGAAGTTCATCATGTTTATGTAAGACTGCACCATTCCGCAATCGACCGTGCTTACGATCTCGCGCAGCCCCTTGCGCAGAAACTTCAGTCCCGGAAGCAGATAGTGACCGGTCAGTTCGGCAATTTTCTCCACGTGGCTGCTCATATTCTGTAAAATGGGATATTCGCTCACGTCACACAGTGATCCAGAATCAAAATTTAACAGTTCACGCGTTTATTTAGCTCTAGCAAGAATATTGAAATTTATTATAGGATAAGAGGCCCAAATTTTGCCCCCCTATCCCACCACGTTTTTTTGGTTCTTGTTCGAAAACTATTTTACATTATAGTCTGATAAAAATTGTATATAGTTACTTTGAAATCTTAATTACGATCGTATGATGTTTATGCAGAAGTCGATGAACGCGCAAATTTTTATGAATTTTAGGGATGTCCCTTCGCTGACGTCATTATTTGCTAATAGCGTTCTTAAGGTCTTTATGAAATTTTACGTTTTTAACTGAGATTGATGATATAAAAGGGATCGATGAGAAGAATACAGAAAATCCTCGATGAGTGTTCGAAAGCTCTACGGCACTGAATATTAAATATTTAATAAATTAATGATAACATGCGGCTGAAACAAATATCATTCGCTTGAGAATTCTAAACTGTATCATTGTGATGAACTTCTTTGAAAAGTCAGCGTTACATCTTTACTCATCGAGGATTCACTGTAACATATAGTGTCTCCAGGTTGTCTGAGAACACTCGAATATCTTAAAAAATACGAATGGTACGAACAAATTTTCAGAAAAAACTTTGTACGATATCGAGGGTAACATACTATACTCTTGTCTGTTTGACCTTCCAGTGACCTTGAAATGTCCTGTGAAGATGACATTAACATTTTTAAATGGGAACCTGCATTTTTGATTACATATTATTGTAGCTGAAATTGAGACGTTCTCAGAACATTATTCTTGTGTGTATTTTGCACAAGGCAATTTCGAGATATTGAACGGAAAAGTTGCCGTGCCGCCGGCGTTACTGTTGCGCAAAGTCGGACCGAGAAACCTCCTCTCAGTATACATCTGGTAATAATTAATGCCGACGGCACGACAACTTTGTCGTTTCGAAATTGCCTTCCGTAAAATAAATACGAGAGTAGTGCTTTGAAAACGTCTCAATATCAGCTAAAATAATATTTATTTTATTTAATATAATCCTTACGGATAAAAATTCTGTTTTACAATAAGCGACTGAAAACGTTCTGACACAAAGATACAACAAATACTCGAATAGAATTGAGAGAAAGAAATTTCTTTTTGATCATTCGAGCCCCTAAACTTTGGTTCTGGACCCACTACGTGTAAATCCCTTTTCCATGGCTGTGACCCGCGACAAATAGACTCCCTTTCCCCGTTCATTCTGTCAACGGTTGAGTAATGAAATCCAGCAAAGGAACCTTAATATAATCCCTTCGCGTAATTACGTCAGCGAACGGGGAACGAGGTAAATAAATTAAAAATCGGGCGGGTTCCTCGTGCCAGAGAATAGACGTTTCCCTTATTAAATTACACGCTGCAAACAATCGGATGCAAAGTGCAGTGTCCCCTTAATTGTACGCAAACATGATTACCGTTCGGTTCGTTTCGTTCTGGGGGACGATCGTGTTTTCTCGATGGAAGATCGAAAAGGGAGGTCGATAGATGAAAATGGAGGTCGATGGATCGCCATCGACGTTCAACGGGGTTCTTTTAAAAAGGCTTCGTCTACTCTAACCACCAATGTTCCGAGTAAATTACATTATTTTCGGGTACCGAAGTAATCGAAGATAAAATTCCCATCGATCGATCGTGTTAGGTCTGGGTTAGGTATCCTTTATTTGGGTTTTTGGATCATATTATTATTGTTATTATTATTATTATTATTATTATTATTATTATTTTACGCTAATATCGTACAAGATCCTCCATTGAGGGTTTTGGATCGTCGGGGGAGGGGGACTTAGAACGAGGCGTTTAACGGAGTTTTGGAAGATTCAGATTAACGGGGATCGATTTATAAAGCACTTACTCGGGGTAGAGATTTCAGCCAGCAATTAATAATTGGATCGAGACCGAGTCCCTCCGGTTCCAAGTACACCATACCGCATCTGGGGGATCACGATAAGTAGCGAACAATTAATATTATCTACGGTATTATATCGCCACGCATCTATTGTTCAGCTTCGGCTCGCCGTTATGTATGACGGCCGCTCTATCATCTGTGGCTGTATTAGAATCCGTCAGTGCGCCATACATCCTACATTACACGAGCAGAATATACCATTTTTTATACAGGAAAAACGTATATCCATCCTCTAGCTCACGGAAGACTGGCTGCAGCCAGTCCACCTCAACTTTTAAATTGCTGATATTTTATCATAGAAACGGTAGTCTTTTTTTTTTCGCCAACAATTTATGTATACACAGGGTGTCCCACCTAACACCTACCACGATTTTTCAAGCACTTACGGTGATCGGAGGAAAAAGTGTTTTAAACATATGTTGATCAGTTCTGAATGGGCTATGTGCTATAAAACAGAATTTCGGAAAATTTTTTTGGATAAAAAATCAAGGTGACCTTTTTCACAATATTCAAACGACCGATTTGAAGTTTCTTTGAATCTTCTAAAAGCATCGCTATAACTGGTCCACCAAGGTTCGAACGTTTCGAGAAACCTTTCTCATTGGTTCTCCCCAATTTACTTAGCCCGTATTGGTCACTTCCGATCGGGACACATCGATTGGCTGTACACTGGCTGTCCCAGAGAATTAATGAAACTAACCGTAGACGAAAAGGTTATCGGAATTTGTTATGCATTCCCGTTCCTGCGGGTCTCTCGGTAACACCAGAACCAGCTGACAAAAGGTGCCCCCGAAAGTTTCGAGTTAGGGGATATTCCCTTCCTATCGCCGTGGCAGTCATTTATTACACTCGATGTGCTTTCTCATCCTCGATCGTCAGGGGCGTACCCAGATAATCACTCAGAGGGGAGGGGGCAAAATTTATGTTATGGTAAATTTTATAACATTACCTTAAATGGATTTTAGATTTAGTTTTACATATAAAATATTAGTTACTCTAATATTTCTCTCCTCAAAAGGGGTGGGGGCAGAAAATCCTATTTGTTGGAGGGGGGTAAAACTGATCCTAAGACAAATTTCATAATACTATTCTAAATGAATTTCAGATTTATTTTTACACGCAAAATATTAGTTAATGTAATATTTTTCTCCTCTTGGGGGGGGGGGGAATTGATCTTAGGGTAAATTTCATAATTAGACTGCGGATGCTTATGCAAAATGAATGTTTCTAAAGTAATTTATAAAGACAGGAGCAATTGTAGAAATTTATTTTCTCTCTTAAGTATCTTATTGGATTTAGAATAAAATAGAAAACTTGTTGGTTCTGATGAAAATTTTGTTTTTTGTTGTATTTCATAAAGCCCTATAGGCTATAAATGCATAAAATCCGCAGTCTATTCATAACATAACTTTAAATGGGGATTTTATATTTACTTTTACACGCAAATCAAATTTTTACCTCTTTAGGGTATGGCAAAGGCCACTTTTTTCCCTCTGGTGGGAAAGGGCGCGTGCCCCCACTCCCTGGCTACGCTCATGTCGACCGTACAACCCTTCGTCGAGTTTCATATTTTTTTTTTATTTATAGTGATTGATGCACAGGGCACAGGCGCTTGGCCGTGGTTTCACGCGAATCGATTGTACGAACTTCGAACTCTTGTATCGCGCCTGGCTTTGACTTCGAATAATGGCGGTTCTTTGGATACGGCGCGACCGGCAAACGTTCTTCTGGATTGACGGGGATTATTAATGTTGTCCCAATCGGCGTCGCCTTACTTTGTTCCACGAGAAATGATAAATTACTAATGAAATAAACAATTAGACGAGTCGATCTTCTCGTTAATCGTTCGGAAGCTTCGAAATGGTTTTAAACCCTTGACGAATCTGTGTGTATTGGAACCGTGAACAGTGAATGGAAAATTGGCACTCTGTAAGTGCTTTTTTTATCGTTATATACAGGGTGAATAACGAAAAACGGAACAGCTAAATATGTTTGTTGGAATTGAAGATAGGAGAAAATGTCAAAAAGTTTAATTCTTCAAGGGGATTAGTATGGAGTGATACAAATGGATCTTCGATTTAATATTATCCACAAGGTTATACAAAGGTTATAGATTGTTTTTTTAAATGGCAGTATGTATTGTTAAAGGTTTGAGTCAAGGTCAATTCAAGGTCGTAGTAATCCTATGTCTATATCCTAACTACTACTCTATGAAGTTAAAAATACATTTAAAAAAAGATCGATGACCTTCAAGTAACCTTGAAGACAACGTCAAATAGAAAATCCGCTAATATCGCCATATTTGCCACTTTGAAAAATATAACCTCCCTCTTTGACATTTTCTCCTGTCTTCAATCGTAACAGAGATATTTAGATTTTTTTTTTGGTACACCCTATATTTGTCGTTTTGCTCAATGTACCTTCTATAAGAAAACCAACAGTATCTTTACCTTATTTGTCCACTGTATCCAATTGTGAATAACTACATCGTGCTATTTTGATCTATAAATTCAAAGTATCCCTGGCAATATTTTCATAGCATTTATTAGATGCACTTGAGCCATGTACGTAATACAATTTTATAAGTTACCTCGAGACCGTGGCTGGCGAGGCGACCCTCAGATCGGCCACCTCGAACATCATCGTCATGCTGGGCAGAATTTTCATTATTTCCCCGGACGTCAAACAGAGCTTCTTGTTGTCGTCCAACACCGTGTTCATGTTCTCGATCCATAGAGCGTCCACCGGCCCGTCGAATATGTACCAACGTTTATTGATATCATCCGCAGCTATTCCGTGCCTGAGCAGCGTCGAGAAAATGCCATCAGTCCTGAAACGTGTAGAACATTTCATGTGAGTTTTATTGATAAAATGAGGAACACACGGAATTGCGAAAAGAAAAATGATATCCGGGAGTCAGTGTAATAAAATACAATACTATTATTCAACAAATATTGTCAATTCTTATTCAATTGTACCTATTAAACAGTTAAGTATAAGAAACTTTATTACCCTTTAACTGTTATTAGATTTACATTATATTTACGCTTCTTTAAAATTTTATTTCACTTATTAGTTATTTCTTTATTTAGATTTTTTTTTACTCTTATACTTTATTTTACTTGGTTTTACTTTATTTTATTTTGTTTTACTTTATTTTACATTATTTTACTATATTTCACTTTATTTTACTTTACAGTGGTTTACTTCATTTTACTTTACTTTATTTAACTTCATTTAACTTGATTATACTTCAACCATTATTACCCCTTATTTATTACGTAGATTCAAATTAGGGTGCACGAGAATACAATAAATTACTCTGGTATCCAGGATTACATCATTCAGTGGAAACGATTATTTGCGACCGTGTGTCTGTGTTCACGAAACACCCGGAGGATTTAATTTAAAGACTGGGGTTATATTCGATTACAAAAATTGCCGTTAAGAGCCAAGTGGCAGAAAACGTAAAACCTATTGCCATTTATACTGGTTAACGGTTGCTTTTCAACGTATTGCGATCACGCGTTTCCGTTTTCATTAGAAAAATAATTATCTCGCTGCGTGTGTACGTGATTGAAACCAAATTAAAAAAAGGGAATATAAAATACATATATTCTTCGATCTGGCGTATTTGGCAAACAAAGGAACTTTGTTTAAATTGAATTTATGCAAATTCACCATTTTAGATATGAATATTTGAAAATTAAAATGGTACGAAATCTGAAATTCTTTACTAATCTTCTCTATATTAGTACAATAGTAACGCATAAATAATATTAAACTTTATTAAATTTTTTATTTTAATACATTTTCTACGTTAAGGAATGCTATAAATGCATAAACATCTGCAGTCTACTCGTAAGTATTAGAACACCTGGTGTGTATAACCCAGTACGCAGTTATCGCGACTTTACTGTATTCGATAAGTGTCGTAATACTTATAAGCAGAAGTCTATGTCAAGGTTTGAGCATGCGTGTAACCTCTTGAAAAATGTATGCATAAGACTCTAAATTGACGTGAGTTCGTTTTATCGAGAACGAAGAAGTGAAAGCTAGATACTGCACACGATATTTATTAACACTAGAACTACCAAAACAGTCAAAATGACTGGTTAGTACATTCTTACAACGATCATTAAAATGTCATAGCAATGTATTTTCTCAGAACTTTTATTCCACTACGAAACTGAAAAAAAACTAGTTGATTTATAAATTTCTATATTTTTAAACATTTGTCATGTTTATCAATCTGATAGAAATCGTTGTACGTTATCATCGGTAGTTCTAATGTTAAAAATACCGGTCTCTGGAGATTCTGCTCAGATTAATATCCACTTACCATTCGCGCGTATTCAAATCGTATTCGCCGTACAGCTGGCCCATCGTGATCGATTTCGGGTTCAACACAAACGTATATACTGGGGTGAACGGTTTGCCGCTCGGCTGCGGTTGCCCTTTCAGCTTCGTGCAAGCTTCCTTCAGAACTTGATAACACTGTGTAATCAAATATTTCGAGGATAATCCTTCCTGGTGAAGCTTAATCATAACCACTACAAGATAAATATAAACCAAAAATATACTAGATGCATAGAAACATAATTGAGTTTCTTGCAAACTCTGATCACAATCACCGTATATTTACAATGAAATCAAATTGTATTCATCCGATGCATCCCCCAAAATACTACAAAGTTCATTAAAACGTTTTCTGACACAATCAATAGGTAACGAGTTATTTTAGATAGTAATTCTTATTGACTCACCCCGTATATCTCTCTTCGCTATGTAATCAACGTTTAAATCCACTATATGTCATTTGTTTATTCAAATGTGTTTCAAAACGTACTTTAAAACAGCACATTTTGCTATATCATATATACCTATTCTACTATTTATTTTACAAAGACAATCAGTTTGGATACTGAAAAACACACGAATCCATGCGTATTCACCGTACCAAAGGACAATTAAACAGCAAACGTAATGTTCGTCTGCGTTCAAGAACAGAATTCGTAAACATAGGTATTGTAAATATTTCTACCGTGACATAATTTAATATTGCATGCTGCGAATTTAGCGCGTTGACAGAATGTGGTGTATGTAACCCGAGGACCGTTAAATAATGCATCTGGTTGTCTCCTCGCACGGAATAACAATATTTATGACTGCAAATAAATTTAATACTAATGAATTGTATCATTGCACGCGTGTTTCATTTATCCTGCATCTTGGAGCAGGTGAATTTGTCTTTTTTGTTAGGATTAAATGGGCTGAAAACTTTAAGCGACAAGAAAACGTCAGAAGGGTTCACCTCGTCGGAGGCGCAGAGGTGTTTCTTTTCGTGTGGGAATATCAAGTTAAGGATGATATAAGGATTCTCTGGGGATTCGTCGAGTAAAAACTAATTTGCGCGTTTCACAACGTTCGTTCGGACGGAATTAGTTTCGAAATTGTCCGTGGCTGATTCGCAAAGGACACACGTCTGGTGGACGAAAAACTGTCATGCTCAGATCTCAGGTTTTAAAACGTGCAACGTTTCATTTTCTGCGAGATGACGGTAATTTTGATGGAATAACTGGGCCGTGAATTTTATGCGATTTATGGCGTAAATGAGTGTGCTGCGTTGGAAGACCAAATTTTGACCAAGTTTAATATACAGAGTGAGTCAATAAGAACTACTATATTTTATACCTATTATTCGAATAAATTCCCAAATACTCTCTAATCCTATCCTGTCAGCATTATTAATTCTCTTATATATCAAATGATTTATTTTATTCGAGCGAAGTACCTAAAAAATTATTTAAAAATACTATAATTGAGTTAAACAGAAAATAAAATTAATTTTCGTATGATATTTGTAAAATAAAAATAACTAAGTATTCGAAATAACTCATTATATTCGGAATGATTATTTGTTATATTATTTTAAACAAAATGTGCCCAACTCTGTTTTATACTCATTCGTTTCGTTTAACATCAGTGATAAATTGGCAAATAAGTCATTATATTTATTTCTTGTCGCATTCGTGCCACGCTGTTCGCGTAGGTCGTTAATTTCAACCGAAGGAGAATCTAATTTTCGCATCACTGAGCCGTATTACATATACCATCGATAAATTTATACGTTCGTTCGCGTTTCCAGATTACTATCCGTAAAACGTATTGGCTGATACCAATCTACGAGCATCAATATGAACTACCCGGCAATTGGACGCGTAATTATCCGGAACAGATGCATACGTTTGAAAATTAATCACATTATGTCACCGAGCACATAAAATATTCTCTTTTCGCGCGTATATTTCGAACTCAACATCGGAAAACCTGAAGCAACAACGCAATTACGAACAACTGGGCGTCGCGATCGCTTTTCCTCTCTGAATGAACATATACGTACATTATAATTTAACTTTCCCGTTCAGTTTCAAAATAGTTACGAAAAGTTGGAAATTGCGAGCTGTTGTGGTTGACCATATTTCGGTCGGAACATATAGGGTGTTCCTTATAGCGTGGGTTATAACTAAATTCAACGCACAAAAATAAGAAAAAATGTTCGTACAAACTTTTGTGCCTATTTGACTTTGTTTTCGAGTTGATGCCGTTGTTGTGTTATATCAGTTCGCCTGTTTTCATAGAAATTACTCAAAGTGACCACATTCGAATCGAATTCAAGCCTTTAATCGTCTCGTCGTTAACCTTTAAAATTGTTAGTATTGCTAATTTACAAAATTTCAACATTTAAAAAACTTTTAATTTCAATATTCAAAAATGTTTAAATTGCAACATTGCAAACTTTCAAAATTTCGAAATTGCAAAATTGCAACGTTTCAAAATTTCCAAATTTAGATGTTCCAAGAGTTGAAAATTTCAAAATTTACAAATTTACAAATTTACAAATTTACAAATTGCGAAATTGCTGACTCGTTCCAAATTCATAATACAAGGTGTAGTCATTTTATTGAACAGTGTACGAGAGATAATACGAGTTACAGGTGCTAAGTTAATGATTCCGAATGGAATCCTACGGTCAGAATGAGTTAAAATCCAGTTATATAAATGTCAGCTCTTATTATCCGCTCGAATAAACACTAATGAAAGGAAGAATCATTGTGCATTTATTAACCCTAAAAATCCATGAATATCTGAACGAAACAAAAGAACACAAACACGTCAGTAACGGTCGTTACAACCAGAAGACTGGTGATAGTTTTCCATACAAAACAGAAAAAATCAGAAATCCGTAAATTTTGGTTTAAGATTTGTAGACAATATAAAAAATTCATAGATCTACGGAAAAGTCTGTAAAGGTCGAAATACTATGGCGACGGTCGAGGCGTTGAAGTAAGCAGCGAAAGAAAAATCGATCGCGAGTCTCGATCCTGTTGGAATTCAATGGTAACCGTTGGTCACGTTCGGAAAAATTGCTTTATGGGAATTTCTTGGCCGGAAAACCGTGCCCGGTTAGGGTCACGGGATCGTATTTTCATGAAGGAGGAGGATCCTTCCATTATTCATCACGGTTACCGGCGTCTTTCCCACCCACCGTATTTTTCACAAATCAAATCCCGCGTTCGCGCCTCATTTCCCACCGACGAGAAGGGAATCGTAGAACGCAGGACTAGAAAATTTAGTGTCCTCGCGACGCGTTTCAAAAAACGAACCAGGCTAATTTTTCTGGAAAATGGAATTTTCTTGCAATTTCCCGCGATCTTCGCGAGTACAGTAAATCCTCGATTAGTGCAAGAATAGGTCCAACAGGTGTAACACTGATTTTTTAAAAAAACAGTACCGTCGCCCATATTAATTTAATATTATTTAACTAAGAATTTGATTTGCAGTGTTTACTTTTACATATCTCTCTCTGTAAGTATATATATTTATTTAAATAAACTTGAAAATTCTCGAAATTTTATTGTCACACCACGTAAATTTTGTTTCTCTATCTACGATGGATGGTGTAACTGTTTATATTGTTTTCACTTCGACGGAAAAAAAATTATTCTCGAAAGTTAATTGTCACTTCGTAAATGTACGTTTCATTTTTTACGGTGGTTGTTGTAGATATTCACGTTGCGGCCACTTTGACGGGAAAACAATTATTCTCGAAAGTTTGCTGTCACAACACCGTAAATTGTGTTCAAATGTTGTCACGCAACGCGACGCTAAAGCACGTCTTCACGCAAACTAATTTGCATACTGACTGAAATGATTGACAACATTCACCTTTTACGTGCAGGCAGAAGACTGGGTCAAAGTTAATCTCGAAACTTTACTGTCAAATCTCGTGCTTCGATTAGCTGGAGTCTTTGTTCGTTGCTTTTCTTTTTTATATTGATATCGGTTCAAAACATTTTACAATTAATATCAATCAACGCGAACGTTCCACACAACCTCTAAACTTAACCCTTTAAGGATGTTTGACGAGTATACTCGTCACTTTGCTAGAAAAATTCAAATTTTCGTATAAATTGAAAAATATATTCCTCTTACACGTATCAATTCTTCCTATTTTCTTTAATTACGAATTTTTTCAGTTTGTATTAATAATATTCGTTATATTAATGAATTTTGGACGAATAAGACGATATTTTTTTTAAATAAACTACTTTTTTTAAATAATTGAATTTAAATTCATATTGTTCACTTGTTGTCATCGTTTAATTGTAACGATGCGCGCAGGTACACATAACAATATCCCACCGTTAAAGAATTAATTATTGACGTTCGGTTTAACCAATCTCACGATCATTGCAATTCAATGGTCATTTAATAATTTCTTTAGTGTCCATAACGGAAGTTATTTGTGATTCATCCCAAATATACCGTAATTACGTGAGTTCACTTTTAACGTTTCAATTTCTTCGTTCGATCGACAAACCATTTTTTTTTCACCATTCCCAAGATTACAAGAAGTAGACAAGGATACCACCCCGTTCCTTGAGGAAGCATCGTTCTTTCTCCTCGTCGGAAATGTGTGTCGCGTCGGGAAGCCGTATCGTTAAGGACGGTGTCGCGCTTAAATTACGCGAAATGATCGTGTATCTAACTCGGTAATTCAATGCCGCTATTATTAATTCTGCTATGGATTAATTGGCTGGGAGCGGCTCCTATTTTCCGTGGGTCTCATCTTCGTCGAGCATCCGCGACGCCAGATGAAGGATCGGGGAAGATGATCGACGGAGAAGCTTGAAGTTGTCGCGATCATTTAAACGTACATTAACACTAGAACTGCCAAGCAAGTCAAAATGACTGGTCAATAGATTCTTATAACGACGATTAAAATGTTATAACAATACATTTTCTCAGATCTTTTGTAACTTTTACTACGACATGACATTAAAGAAATTAGTTAATTTACAAATTAGTAAATTTTCAAAAGTTTTCCATATTTATCGATCGATCGAAAAAGATATGCGTTTATCGTTGGTAGTTCTAGTGTTAAGGAAATGTCCTATACAGGGTGTAACAAAAATGTTGGCAGACCAGGAAAT